GAGCCTAGCTATTTGGAGGTCACTTATTTCATGACTTGGTCTGTTTGACCTGCCTGGTATCAGCTGTAGGTGCTGAAGAGTCAGTCTTGAATTGTTGGTCCAGGGGGATACCCAAAGCTGCCAGTAATGGAGGGGCTGGTGCATCCAATGTCAGCACGTGAAGCCCAGCAGTAATCACCATGTAATTAGCAAGGGAAGCTGAAGAAGGGAGTGGAGGCCACTGTCTGCAAATGGTAGCTGAAGTGGCATGCATGGGTCAGTGTTGCACAGTTGTGGCTGCCACCTTCAGTTCTGCTTCCAAAGAAGGGCTCAAAAATGTACTGTTCTATTCCTCCTGGCCTATTCAATGAAGGCCTTCCTCAGCAGGCCTCTCTGATACATCTGTAAACAGTTGAAATATCTGTCCATTGTCAGTATTTTCCTACATTTTTTGAAGTAGGCTTTGGTGAACAAGAAAATTGGATTTAGGGGTGGGATTGCTGATGAAACAGAATGTTCTGAATGCTGCAAGTTGCTGCAGCAGACAAAAAGTACTGAGACAATACAGCACCACAGTCAGAGCATAAGCAGAGGAAGTGGGAGGGCTAAAGTGTGTTTAACTCTAAAATGTTCTGAAGGATTGCTCTGCACCAGGATGAAGATGTGCTGCACTGAGCACAGCCCTGGCTGCAGTATCCTGTTCTTCTACCATTCCATTGCTTTAAGGCCCGAAGAATGGCAGTCGGCTCCTTTACCTAGCTATCAGCTCCTTTACAGCCTCCTGCTGTGTCAGGATAGTGAAGGCACGAAAGGGGTGCCGAATGGACTTTAACAGCAAAAGGAGAGTACATGGATGAGCCTTTCCCAAGGGTTTTGTTTCATTTTTTGCTGGCTGTGGTATTTCCAAAGTAATCAGCACCCTTACACCATTGATCAGCACTTATAGCTGCTTGCTAACACATTAGCTACAGGTCTGAAAGCGCTTTTCCTATGACTACTGATGCACTAAGCAATGAATACAAGGTTAAGTAGCTATGTGATGATTCTATTTATGTAACACCAGCTTTTCCCAACTCTACACCTCAAAACATGAAATGCAGGAACCAGTTTAGCAATGACAGATGCTTCTTCATTTATGGTAGAAGTGAATGCTAAAAAAATAATTTCTTCTAAGGTTTCTGCACCTTAGCAAGCAAGCAAGCAAACTCATGTTCTAAAATTGCATTTTAATTCAAAGCATTTGAATTAAGATGTGTTTATTTGAACAAGAAAGGATAGTTGCAAATGTAGAAAGAAATACAAGTATCACAAAGTATTGAAGTATTTAAAGTATCCAAGTTACTTTGGATTTGCATTGGAGCTTTTCAACTAAGCCAATGTTTTGAAAGAAGATAAATATTACAGTAGCTAGTTCTAAAATGTTCACCTGTAATACCTGGCACTTGTGAAAGCCTGACAGAGAAACATACCACAAAACATATGGTGTAACAATCTACAATGCTTATAGGCATCTTTCATTTGTCAAGTTCACAACCCAGTCTTTAAAATGGAAAAATACAGGCCAAAATCAATTAGCTGGAACCTTTTGATCTTCATAAATAAGTTATCTTTAAAACAGGCCAATTATCTCAGCTAGCTAGACAAATCAGCTTGTAAGCCCTATCAGTCACTCTAAAGCACATGGTCTATTAAAAACGTGAATTGGCTTTTCCTATTTTTTAATTAAAAAAGGTATTCTATTAAATCTGAATAAAATTAGGAAATATAAAACATAAACCTTACCCCGTTGAATTCAATTTTTGATCTCCCAAACCAGTTCAAATACAGTATCAATATCTTGCAGAGCTTTTGAAAAAGATGGGCTCAGCCCATCATTGCTAAACCAGCATAATCATTCCTCAGTTGGTTCTTATTCACACAACTAGTCTTGTACAACTCCTGCACAGATTACGCACAAATAGCTTAAGAGGTGCTATAAGCACACTGAAAAGATTGTGTGTATCCACTGGATGTTTCTTTCTCTCTCAGAAACAGGAAAGCACTTTTTTTTTTTTTTTTTTGAAACACTATATAGTTTTGAAGCAAATTCATAGTTGGCAAATGGCATGGGAAACTGCTGAGAGAAATGCAAACAGATCTTGGGCACATTATTTGCATTTGCTTTCAAGTACTTGAGCAGCAAGCATTCTTAAAACCTTTCTTTGGTGAGTGTCCTGACCTGCTTGCAGAGGGTAATAGCCTATCTTATCTGGTAGATTATGTACTTCATATAGTAAGATGGAGGGCTATTGCTCAGATAAGAATTTTTATTCCTGAAGGTTTCACCCAAGTTATTGATAGAAGATTGAAACTTGTATTCACATAGTAGAAGTCTGCTACATATTTGTCAAAAATCTAAATTTAATGTTAGCAAACTATTTAATCTTACTGTTTATTAATATGAGACATTCAGCCTGTTATGTGATCTGTAATCATTAAACCTTTGTAGAAACTCACACACTTTCCAATGAAATCCACACGTGCTTATAAGAAATCTTTAGACATTGACCAACATCACATTTATTAAGAAGGTGATTCCCACCCAAGGAGAGCTACAATCAAACAGTGTTGAAGTGGATTAACACCACAAAAACACATTTATTGAGGTTCATTAACAGAGATGTTAATGCTCAAGCTAGCTTGGGGGAAATCAGCTGAGCAAAAGGATTTCTTAGCACTTAGAGCAATTGGGGATGCTCCAGACTTCACTGACTTATCCCTAGATGAAATTAGCTGCATTCCTGGAGAGGCTCCGGATATAAAAATAATTTTCAAGACTAGAACTAGCAAGCGCTACAACCCTTGGTCCCAGAGAAAAAAGAAAGAAAAAAAGAATCCTGACTATGGAAGACAAATTGCCCAATGATGGCATAACCCTAGTTGCCCAAACCTGAAGTTTTTGCACAGTTCAAAAACTTTGTTAAACCAGACAAGTTTGCAAACACAGGAAATCATAATATTGCTGAGTGTGCTTGAGAATAATCCCAGTACTTGCTTGAATCAAGTCTCACTGGGCCCTTCTTGCGAACTCCATTGGAGTTAACATATTGACTCTAAGTATCAATTGAGCCAAGGAAAGAAGCCCTCTTCACCATGTCACTCCACCTCCTCCAGTAGGAAGGAGGCTTCATGTCAGTTTTTGTCTTGACCCCTGGGGGCCTGGCATGGATCTGCGATCCTGATGCTATCTCTGCTTGGGCCCCTTGGAGTGTAGAGGGAAGGGTGGAAGGAGAAAAGGCATGTGGGCTTCGCCTGCATTTTTTGTTCCCTTCCCAGGACCTTCTCCAAGGTTTTACTGGACAGGTGCTTGCCTATGAAAGGAATGCCCACCAAATTAGACTTGGACTTGATCAAGTTCCTCTTTGCAACCATGCTAGATGCTGCTGATCCCGCATGAAGCTGGAACATGTCCAAGGTGGCATCTGCCAGGAGCAGGCCTAGGCCCCTCTGCTCAGGAACCTCTTTGACAGAGATCATTCGCTTTCATTGTTCCATCACACTGCTATGGTGGAGGCTAAGGCACTCATGAAAATGTCTCCAGTCTCAAAACATCTACAGATAGCAATACCCACTTATCTGCCATGCTGCTGCAATGGAAGCCCGTAACACTCTGCTTTCAGGATGAATTTCAAAGTGAGGGGCACCACTAGCTCATCTCCTGGCCATAGAACTGCAGCCCATAGAAAGCCAAGATCTGTGCCACCACCCTGCAAGCCCTCCTTTTGGATCTGCTCTGTTGCATACATGTAGGAAAGGCCTCCCATCCAACAGGGTCACAACAGTAACTAGGAACAGTGTCCTTGTCTTCCACCTACTGTGCCCCCCTGTAGAGACTCCTATCCTTATCTGGTGAAAGGCTCCTCTTGACAGGCTCAGCTGGGTCTCGTGTACAGCACAGAGGCCAAGAAAATGTCGTGGGAACTGCCCTTCCGGGGTGCATGTGCTGCTGCTCAGGTCTGTGGGGACGCAGAGGAGCTGGGGCACCTGTAAGAGGATGCCATGATTGGTGACTGCTATTCTGGCTAGCAGCTCCCTGGGAAGGCCTTGCTATCTTAGGACTGGGCCTGGATCCCCTGGTTGGTCCACTCAAGCCCTGTGGTTAAAAGAGGAGGAGGAGGAGGAAGAGACTTACCTAGCCGTATGCAGTGTGAGAAAGCACCTCCTTCGCAGCTTCCTGGTTCATGGCCTGTGCAGTGATGGATGGGGGTGCCTGGCCATTCTTCCTCTCCTGAAGAGCTGCAGCTTGACTTCTGGCACACATGCCTCTCCAGGGGTGACATGAGACTTGATACCCAATGGGCAGCTGCGGCAGGGGGCCTCCTCATAAACAAAAAAGGCAGGTGTACTGGAGCTTTTCCTCAACTGCACTACTGCATTAGGGGTTCCTCTTCATTCCTAAACTCCCTTCTCTATCTCCCGTTTCCTATTTAGCTTTAGTGCTTGCTCTCACAGCCGGGCAAGAGCCTGCTAAGTCTGCCTCTCACCACAAGGCAGAAGGAAAAATGGGAGTTTCCAAAGGAAGCGTAGCCTTCTCTCGGAAGTTCAGATTGAGTCCACCATCCCAGCCCTGAATGTGGGGCCTTTCCAAGAGCAATCTGACCCCCTGCACTCAGAGAAGAAATGAGCCAAAATATACTTTCTTTACTGTAAATCCTATGAGTGAAATTAGGATGTGGAAAAGGATATTTGCATATATCCACAGTTACTGGTTTTGGGTTGGTTTTTTTGGGGGGGGGGGGCAAAGATCAAATGAACTCAATTTCTCAATTTAAAGATTAGATTTAATCGGTATCTATCCAAAAATTAAATAAAGTACTAAAAAGGGTACTGATTCTCTGGGATAGAGAAAATCTCATAGGTTCTTCAAGGCAAAGTTACGTCTGTTTAAACTGCACCTGCACAGTAAAATAACAATGACCCTGGGTGAACTACTATTACACAAATCTGCAATATTAATAAAGAACCCACCAGAAGATAGCACATTATTTTGTTAAGTTTATTTATCATTGAAGTTAACACATAGCAGCAAGTTCTGTGTTGGCTTCAATTAAAAACAATAATTAACATTGCTACTTCACCCCCGAAAATTGAAGACAACCCAGCCCTTACTACAAAGCACTTGGTTTAAAGGTAAAGCACTTACCCTGAAGACAAGAAATTGGGAAGGAAGGGAAGAATAAACAATTCCTCCAGACCACATATTTGAAATATGACAGTATATATAAATGTTTCAAAAGGCATGAATTTACCCAAAACAGAAAAAGCAGTCTATACGCAGCAGAAGAAAAAGAACCGCAGCAGTTTACTCAAATGTTTCCAATTTTAAAAGCCTTATGTTTTGTTGTTTTGACACTGCAATGGCATTCATTGTGAGAACAAAGACTGCAAAATGGCTTGATAAGAATATGCATTCAAGTAGAATCTACAAAAAATATCCCAGTGTAACTAAAAGATCCATAACATTTATTGTATGTAATTCCAATTAAAACATGTAATACCACCAGCCAAAACCTCCTGCCATCAAAATAACCAAAGAAGTGTTTTTGTGCCTACTTCAGACAGCATGGACTTACAAATTAATCACTTTATGTAACTAGAAATATAATTTCAACATATGCTTTGTAAACCATATTCATTTCCAAGTGAAGAGCTATGCAAAATAAAAATCTTGGTTTTGACTGAGATAAACATGCCACTCAAAGATACCTACTGGGTTCATATTGTTTGTTTCTTACCACCAAGTGATCTCTGACATATACAACATCTGAAATTTAGATAACCAGTATTTAATTTCCAACTTTTAGTTGCAAGTTCTGTGCATGATCAGTTTACGTACAAGTGAGATTTTCATGCTTTTACAATACCTAGAAAATTTTGTTAAAGGATTCCAATTCAGAGTGTTAAAGCACCAATATTATAATGTTATGAAATCAATGCTAAACACCAACTTAAAACCCATTTTACATTTTGACTTAACGGCGCACAGTTGTCCAACCATCTTCATCTATTTCATTTTTAGTACGACGAAGGGCTTCACGGTCTTTTTCTGTTCTCCAGGCCCCCTTCTCTTTCTCACCATCCTTTTCTCGCTCTTTTGAAGCAGAAGCAGAAGCAGCAGGAGCAGGAGCAGCAGGAGCAGGAGCAGCAGCAGGAGCAGGTGTTCTTCGAACAGTTTCACGTTCCTCACGTTCCTCCTTTCTGTCATCACTACGTCTCCATGAGTTCACTGAAAAATAAGCAATATTTCAACTGTGCCTCAGCCATCACCCTGTACAATAATCAAATCCAGATGAAACAGGTTAATTACAATGGAATACAGGCCACCTAGAACAGTTTCAGAGCAATTCACAAAAGACAGTCATAGTACTGGCTTATAAACTGTTGCGCTACATAAATACACAATCCAAAAACAGAAGTTTCTTTTTTGAAGATGAAAGGATTCTCAAGAATAAATCTTACAGCATAGTTAAAGAATTAGAAGGAAACATAATTAGAAGTTTGATCAATTAATATGCTCCAGAACAGAAGGAAAAATACTTTCTTCTGTATGTTCTTATAATGAGACTAAGAACTCATTATATTGCAAGTTTAAACTGAGTGATGTTCATTTCAGAAGTCTTGGGACTGGGCAAGTATTTTGAATATGAAACAGTGGTATTTCTCATCTGGACTAACACTGGACTTTCTACACCTTAATGGAAACCATACTTTTTTAGATAATTTCATACGTTACTTACCACTGTATTTGTTTTTAAACTATATGCTTAAAGTTTTCACTATTATGGAAACCATATACATATTTAAGATAAAAGGACTGCCTTTCCTTAGCAATTCCCTGACAGGGTGTTCTTTGTAGTGAACAAAAAGTGAGTCTACCTTCATCCCTATCTGTTCTGGGAGGTGGCACTCTCCTTTCCCTCTCTTCACCACGCCGATCTCGAAGGTCACGACTACCTCGGTCATCTCTAGAGTCACGGCCACCCCATTCATCACGACGTCCTGAGTCTCTCCAGCTAGAGGCTTCCTCAGCTGGTCCTCTTCTCCAACCAGCATCATCCCTTTAGTGATATAAATATATTTTAGTAATTAGGAATAGCCTTTAGCTGCAGTTTTGGCTGCAAAAGAATGAATTAAATCAACTATATGATCCAGAAATTCTTTTAACAGAAATGCAGAAAATTAAAACCAAGAAGAAAACAAAGCTTGATTTTTAAAGTATTTAAATCCACTTTTTTAAAAATTGTAACTTTATACTCAATTGTTTAGGTTAAATAAATCACAAGCTCTTCTATGGCTTATCTTTCTAGCAATCAACTTTAGCCTGTTAACCTAAAGCAGTGATAGTATTAACCAAACAAATGTGGTTTTGGTCACTGTTCATGGGCTCCAAAATATGATGCCCAATATTGCTCTGTAGATAGATACTGCCCTTACTCTAACCTATGAAACAAAATAATTTAATTCTTAAGGGGAGAAAATCACCCTAAAAGACATTGTTAGAAAAAAAATAATCAAACCTTGGACGCCTGAAGCGATCTTCCCTATCAAAGTCACGGTCTTTTTCAATTTCCCGATCCTTTTCATTCTCATCTCGATCTTTATCTCTATCCCATTCCCGATCTTCTGAAGGTCTTGAGTCTCGTGGAGGTCCCCAGCTGTCTTCACGAGCTTTTTCTCGGTCTCTCCATCCACCTACCAACCAGAAAAGATCTCAACTTCTGTGGACTAATCTCAACAATACAAGAATAAACATTTAGCTTTAAATCATGCAAGGTGTCTCCTTCCGATTTCCTTGAATTACCTGGCATTAGTACAAAATCCCATACCACATTATTCTGGAAGATCCTCCAACCCTCAGATAGGCTTTTCAAGATATGCAGGGGAACTACAGTGAGGAGGAGGCTGAAAAGCCTATCTAAAACAAGCATCAAATCTGGATCCAAGTTGTATTTTTCATTGAACATGTCCCCAAAAAAAAAAAAAAAAACCCTGGAAGAATACTGGATTTAAGTAGTTTACTGAGATACCTGAAACAAATTATGTTTTCAAATAAATCAAGAACATGAAGTACACTTGACGTCTTCTGAACATATTGAAGAAAATTAAGTTTCTTGATTGTAGCAACAGCAACGATCCATCATCTATGGACTGGATAAAACCTGAATACCAAGTTGCCTAGAAATTCAATGGAAGTACTAACGAATACAAAATATTTTCTAACTCTAGCTAAGTTGGCTTCCTTCATAAAAGCATGAGTTCCTAGAAAACATGGCATACATGGAACACAATGTGTCCTAACTTGTTTAATGTATATATTATACTAATTTTAGTTTAATGAGACCTTCCTGTATGAAGAAAGGATTTCTTCCCTGTAATCAGCATACATACATTTTAGAGTCATCAGGTTAGATTTACAGCTTCAATTACCTCCATTTAACACATCAATTTTCTTGTTCATTTGCCTACCTGTGTCCAGCAGTCAAACTACAAAACCTACACTTCAAAGGAATCACAATCTTCTATTGCCACACAAATACTGTAGGACACAATCCTATGGGTTCCTTTCACAATTTAAGTTCCCAGAAACAGAAGCCTATGAGCATCCTATATAGGGCAGGAAGAATGGGAGGAGATCTTTGCCTCTGTCCTTCCATGCAACATTTTTTGCTAGACAGCATTTTTGGCCTACCTAGCTGGGACACAATGGAGGAAAGGGGGAAAGAGGCTAGAAGCACCTTAGAAAGTTTTTCCCCTCTCCACCCATCAAGGTGCCCCATTCTTCAAAGCTGAGTTTCTGAGCTCAGAGGAAGGCCAGCATGGTTCTTTCCAGACTGGCTGCAAGGAAAGGGGGATCAGAGATTATGATGATGATGGATTACTGGAATAATAATTATTTGGATAATATCATGTCCCATTAACCAAGAAACTCTCTAAAGATGCTGTCTAAAGGTTACAGGACAGGTGTCTATTGAGGCTGCAACAGAAAAGACTTTTAATTCAATTTTGCTGCATCAATAGCTTTTAAATTAAATTATGTTATAGCCTGTTTTGTGACAATTATTCAATTCCAGGTTATGGATAACAGGAATTTCTATCAATTTGATATGATAATCTCGCACAATAATGCATTGTTTTTACAAAATTTATTATATTGCATACTGGCTATTCTTCAGAAATACTGATTAAATGGTTCCAATTTGCAAGAAATCAATATACCTGGTTTACCAAATGGTCTCCAAGGTCCAGGTCTGGAATCATCCCCACGCCTGGAATCGTCTCCACGTCTAGGACCTCTTTCATCATCAGCTGCACGCCTGGATCCCCAGTCATCATCACGCCTTGAAATTCTTTCCTCATCTGTGCTGCGCCATGGCCCCCTATCCTCATCACGCCTAGAAATTCTGTCTTCTTCCAGTCCACGCCGTGGGGTCCTATCTTCATCAGCAGCTCTCCAACTTGGTCTGTCGTCATCCAGGCCGCGCCGAGGGCCCCTATCGTCATCCAGGCCACGCCGGGGGCCCCTGTCGTCATCCAGGCCGCGCCGGGGGCCCCTGTCATCATCCATGCCGCGCCGGGGGGCCCTGTCGTCATCCAGCCCGCGCCGGGGGGCCCTGTCGTCATCCATGCCGCGCCGGGGGGCCCTGTCGTCATCCATGGCACGCCGGGGGCCCCTGTCGTCATCCATGGCACGCCGGGGGGTCTTGTTTTCACCTGCTGAGCGCCAACTTGTTCTGTCCTCATCCAAGATTTTCCTTGGAGCTCTATCTTCATCAAGATCATTCTTCTGAGCTTTGTCATCTGATGTTTCATGGGGAGATTGTGGTCTTTCTTCTGAAACGGTACGAGTTGCATCTTCTTTTCGTAATGGCTTTTCATCATCACGTGCTTCTCCACGACGCCACTCTCTATTCAAAATAGAATACACCAGAAAAATAGTGAATTTTGAAAACATAGAAGTTTTGTTTTCTGTTGTCTAAGTGTCAATTGCTGCATTATTCCTCTACAGTAACAGACTTTACATGTATCACCTGTCACTTCTCAAACAGAAAACATGTTTATGTAGAAGAATGGATTTTAAAAAATTATATATAATGAAATTAAAATAAATCAATGTTAATTTAAATCAGATTTTTTTAGTTTACTTTTCCTTTAACAATTAACAATTTACACTTGTGGGCTCATAAAAATGAATTAATGGCTCTGTCCTACTCATACATCTACCCATCAAACATGGGTATTCATGTTTTCAGTTTCATTAAAATGGTTTGGTCCAGCCTATCAGTTTGCTTTTTAGAATTTCTATGCTTTGCCACAGCTCAATGGTACTACCCATATTTTACAAGGGACATTCAATGTATTCTCGGTATCAGGTTGATTTGCTACTGATGTGGGTAATTTAATTATTTCATTAGCTAATGACACTATCTGAGGGTATACATGCAAAATTTCAAACAAGTGTGATCATTAGTTCCCTAGTAATCCTCAGTGAAAGACGACCATGATGACTGATGCGACAATGTTGAAGAAAATCGAGCACCGTGCTGTGATTAAGTTCCTTACAAAACAAGGAAAAAGTCAAAAAATCATTCACCAAGATATAGTGGCCGTTTACCAGGACTCTGCACCTTCATTATCTACTGTTCAAAAGTGGTCAAGTGAATTTAAAAGGGGCAGAGAAAGCACTGAAGATGACCCTTGCTCGGGCAGGCCGGTTACTGCCACTACAAAAGAAAATGTGAAAAAAATTGAGAAACTTTTATTGGAAGATGCCCGAATAAAAATCAAAATGTTAGCAGAGATGACAAACCTATCCATTGGTACCATATTTACTATTTTTCATGACCATCTTAATCTTTCAAAGGTCTACAAAAGATGGGTGCCACGAATACTCATGGTGCCTCAGAAACAAGTGCGAGTCGAGTGCTGTAGGGAGTTTTTAGAGCTCTGTGGTGAAGATCCATCGAGTATTTTCCACCAGATTGTTACTGGAGATGAAACTTGGGTTCATCACTATGACCCTGAAAGTAAGCAGGAGTCCATGCAGTGGCATAAAAAAGGTGCTGACCCTCCGAAGAAATTCAGTCATTCCATCGGCCGGAAAAATCATGGCCACAGTGTTTTGGGACTCAAAGGGAATTTTTATTGATCAAGTACACGAAAAAAGGTGAAACCATAAACGCAGCCTCTTACGCAACCACTCTGCGTAATTTAAGAGAAGCAATTATAGAAAAAAGGCGGGGAAAACTGACCGCAGGTGTGTTGCTTCTTCACGATAACGTGCCCGTTCACATGGCGCATGTTTCAAAGGCTGCTGTGCGAGACTGTGGTTTCAAAGAAATAAACCACCCACCGTATAGCCCAGACCTGGCCCCCAGTGACTACTACCTATTCCCGAATTTAAAAAAAGATCTTCGTGGAAAGCGATTTTCCAACGATGAAGAGCTCAAGGCAATTAACATAATTTTTTAGAAAAGGAGGAAGGGTATTTTTTTTACAGGGAATTGAAAAGTTAATTTCTAGATGTAATAAGTGTATTGAAGTTATGGGGGATTACATTGAAAAATAAAAAATATTTCAATTTATTATTCCTTTTCTTCATGCTGATACCGAGAATACATTGAACGCCCCTCGTACATACAGAATGTCCCATGTTCAATCCTTGGCATTACCAGCTAGCGACCTCCTGGAACCCTGGAGAGCTACTGTTGGGCAATGTAGATAATACTGAGCTAGATGGACCTGTAAGACAGAGTCCTAAAAAGACACATATGCAAAGACATACAGGAAGGGTATGCTGTTGTCCTGTGCTGATGTGGTGGTGTAAGCAGATTTTCCTATCCAGGAAAGAACTGGGATAGGAAAGGATTGCCAGAGGCATAGTGGAAAGGAACAGTGGAATGAACTAGAAAGAAAAAGGCAAGACACACAGACATAGGTTCCAGTCCCAATATTCTCCTGAACTTTTTGCCATAGAAAAACTGCCATACCTTCTGTATGTAAGAGACCCTAACTGGAAATATACTCTCTCTGATGTTGTAAAGTGCTGTATTGATTAATGGGCAAACATTAAATCACACTAGTAACAAGCTACTTTGTCCTAAATTCAAGGTAATTTGCCTAGGATGGTAGGCAAGCTTTGAAAGACAGCAGTAAGCACTCAGCTTATCAAAGCCCCTGGGCTGGTTCTTCAACCGTAAGCCCTGGAATTTAGTTCTTCTTGTTCTCAACCGATGAAAACAGCCAATTCCTGCAGCTTGCATTCTTGCATGGAACACATTAACCCTACACAAGAGTAAGCTAGCAAGATGGAAAGCCACCAGCTATTACAGGGAGGGAACAACATGCCAATTAATTAGAGATAAGAGAGAGAGATGCAAACACCACCTTGAAGGGTAAATGAGTAGATACGTTACAATGCTACAGGCTGCTTTGTCTGCAGCAGAGGAGAGCCAGGGGATGATAAGAAAAAGTAACGTACCGCTGTGGGACTAAGATATCTAAAGTTAAACACATGAAATGTCATGTGCCTCATTAGAAGTCATGCCAACAGCTGGAGCATGAGACAAATACAACTGAAGTGCTTACACTGAACAACTTTATGAAGAGGAGGCTGTATGCCTGTGCTCACCTTTGTCCATCTCGCTACTCTTTTCTGTTGAGCAAAGCAAGTGTTTTCCCCCTTAAGCTAGATATCAAGTTTAGGGAGACATACATGTTTACCTCCCTAGTAGGCATAACATTCAGCATCAAGATTTGAACACTCAGAACTTGAGTCATCTGAATCTCTTACTGGCACACTGAAATTTTGTGTGTGGAGGCCCAAGTGGATAGTGAGGTGGCACTCAATATTATTCATTTCAAAGACCAAAAGTGAAAAAGCATGGAAAGTTGTTCAGTCATTATCACCACATTCAATTGTTTTTAAACCTCTTCACCTAACCTGGTAAATAAAAACTGTCACAGTACAACTAGGTGCAGCAAATGTGAAATAATTTCTTTAGTAAATTTGTTCACTGCCATTCACTGTTAGCTCTCAGGACATCGTGCAAGTAAAAGGAAAACAACAAAATAATATGCAATTAGAAAAACAAATACATGCACAGCAAACCAGCAACCTAAACTACCACTTTTTGGAAAGCAGTCAATGTGGTTCCTTCCGTGCTGGCTGGCAGGATGTGTCTGCAGGGGACTGGGGACAGTTGGGGTTTCAATTGTCAGTTCCAAGCTTAGAGCACGGTCTCTGATCTCGAAGATGGGAATCCAAACTATCCTATGGACCTTCAGACTTGGTCTGTTCAATATAGCTTAATAGTATTCAAGGATGTCTGTGTTCCTCTAAACTTAATTCATAAGCACTATTTTCAAATTGCTCAACAACTATGTTTCTTCCTGAATTCAAAAAACTAATTGGATTACTAGGTCACATGAATTTGTAACACTCAAGAATAGGGTGGGAATGGTTTTCCAAAGAAAGCCAAGCCAAGAAAAAGCCTGTGAATGTTCAGAGACCACCAGCTGCAGACCCAGCAACCAGTTTCTGTATCAGGTGAGGCACCCCGAGCAGCCCAGAGGCATTCAGCAGGCTCCATGGCTGAGCAGGGACCAGCACCCAGATCACCTGAGTCCCAGTCTCATGCTGTTAACCACTATGCCACACTTGCTCACTGAAAAGAGGGGGGTATTAAACTATATAATTAAAAATACATGGGAGAAAACAGAAATGGAAATGGGGGGGGGTGGGGAGGCAGAAATAGCAAACTTTCTGCAAACACATCTAGGATAGAAGAAACCCATACTGGATATATAATTGGTTTGAGGAAATACCCAAAGAGCTCTATTTGAATATTTAATCTATAAATACATGAAACAGATTATTTTGTTATTTGTATGACAAAATAGTATATGAAACAAAACTTCAGACATTAGTGCAACATTTCCAAGAATTTATTGGAATGTGTAATGAGAATCCTTACTGAATGGCAGTAATTGCCAGCTAAATCAGTCTGATGTTAGCCACCTAGAGATGCCATGGGCAAAATAGGTGGCATAGAAATGTTTTAAACAAATGAACAAATAAACAAATCCTTATGCAACCAGGGATTTCTTGAAGTCTGCAATAGTTTTCATTCTTGAACAGAACATTAGATAACTGTTTACATATTATTTCAATAAATACCTTTCGGGTGGTGGGCGTCTCCAATCTGATTCTCCCTCCGTATTTCTTCTCCAGGTGCTCTCAGAATCTCTATCACCCCAACGAGATTCCTACATTTAAACAAAATAAAAAGGAACCTTTAGTAACTACTCAGAAAGCTTTAAATCATATTTAATTTTTATTACAATGTAATAAGTTAAGTCAAGAGGGCCTGCAATTCAGATACTACCAGTCTCTTGATTGCCTGAATCAATTAATTGGTGTTTGCAACTAGATAATAGTGTTGTGAGCAGACAAAGGTCCCACCTTTGGTTAATCAGAAACAGCATTTACCTTCCTTGGATCTTCAAGATTTCTCCTCTCTTCTTCTCGTCGACGCTCCCTCTCTTCAATCTCCAATTCTCTTTGTCGTTTCTTTCTCTCCACCTCTTCTAGTTTTCTGACGCGTTCCTGATATTCACGCATTTCTTTTTCTTGTTTTTCACGCTCAATACGTTCTTTTTCTTCTTGCTCTGCCCAGAGGCAATTCATGCAGATAAATATAGTGTCTTTTCATCCTGGCTTTGAAATTCCTACCATTTTCCCTCACATTTACTGTATTTGCACAGAAAGCATTTAAGTAAAATTTAGTAGTAGTAGTACTAGAATGTGTAAGTATGAAATTTAATTTTAACAGTATCAACCATGGCACACCTCTATCCAAACAAGCAGATATAATAATCTTAGGAAACCCAAAGCTACATGAGCAAGTAAGGTATTCGTCTTCATGGTCTATAAGCAAATAGTCAAGTTCAGCAAGATAATTTCACAGCCTTTACCTTTAAGCAACTTTTCTTCTTGCAATCTTCGAGCTTCCTCCTCTTTCTCCTGATAATAAGCAATCCGTCTTTCCTCTTTACGCTGTCTCTTACGTTCTTCTAAACGATTATGCTTTTCCTCTGCTAGCCTTTCTTGGAATTGCTTGAGTTTTTCCTGAAAAATACACAGAGCACTACTTAACCTCAAACTTCAGAAGTGGTGCAAACTACCTAAAATCAATGACAAAACAGATTTTGAAATACCAGGAATGTGTGTTTGTTGAGTAACTATTTGTGATCTGGGTTCAAATCTCCACTCAGCCTTGGAGCCAACTGGGTAACTTTGGGCCAACACAAACTTTCAGCCCAACCTACCTCATACGGCTGCTGTTGTGGGGATAAGATTGGGAGTAAGATGAAAAGAATGATGGAAGCAGCTTTGAGTTCTTTGAAAGAGGTTCCATCATTCTCCTCCTCTTGTTCTCAATCTTATCCCCACAACTACAACCCTATGAGATAGGTTGGCTTCGAAGCATGTGACCTGACCAGTCATCCAGCTGGCTCCATGGACTTTCTCTTATACGCAGCTTGGTCTTGCAAAGCAAGCTACATCAAAAGGAAATCCACAACCACTTGTGGAATGAAGGCTGTACAACTGACAACCTTCCTCCACATCAGTGCATCATATTACTGATCAAAGATGCATTGACTGGATCTTGAAAGTATTACTAATATATTAATATACAGTGGAATCTCGGCTCACAAACTTAATCCATTCCATGACTCTGGTCACGACCCAAACTGGTCATGAGCCAAGTCAAATTTTCCCATAAGGTTCAATGTAAATAAGGTTAATCCGTTCTGTGAATATTTTTTTTTAAATCACAGGAAAGACGGGCACGATCGCGGGCGCGCTGGGGGGTGGAGATGGGCGCGATCGCGGGCGCGCTCGGGGGGGGGAGATGGGCACGATTGCAGTCAAACTTGTGCAGGAAAGACGGGCATGATTGTGGGCACACTGGGAGGAAGGGCACGATTGCAGGTGCGCTAGGGGGGAGATGGGCATGATCACAGCCATCTCCCCACCCACCCCCCGAGCACAATCGCAGACATCTCCCCCCGCAAGCATGACCACAATCGTCACCCGTTTGCGACCTGAGGAAATGTTTTTCTGAAACTTCTGTTCGCGACCCGATCTGGCCATGAACTGAGGTGTTCGTGAGCTGAGGTACCACTATACATATATGCACATATATTCATAGTTCCTGCTCCGTATCACAAACATAGGTTGAGGTAGGTTGACCAAATGGTTAGCCTTGTGAGGACAACCTTCTTCTACACTGGGTGCAGCAGCACAAAGAATGCTGCACATGGTGCAAAAGAGGATGCTGCCTGTGCACTGACTCCTGGAGAACATCTTGCAAATGTTGTGTGGGCTCACCAGAAACTTGAACTCAGGGCTGTGACAAAGTAAACTGAAGTCCAGGGAGTCAAGCCCAGGGAATCTGACAGATTCCCCATTCCCAAAACAGATTTCTCACACATCCCAACACCAGAGTACAAAAGGAGAGGCCCTTTTGAGGGCACCATTAGTTTGCAGAGGTTGATTTGTCATGCAGATATGAAAGAGCTTTCCTCCTGCCTTGCCCCCAAACTATAGAACATATTCTATTAAGAACTATAATTAGCTCCACTTTAACTTCAAATGCAACTTATAGATCTCACATAGGCCACTTTAATCTCCTTGGTAAAACAATGAAATAAAAATGAAACAAAAAAAACAGAAACTATTAATAAACACAAATTAGGGTTTTTTATATCAGATTCTTTTCTCATGAAGAGCAACCCTCTTTCTAATACTAACCTTGCCTCTCATACCACCCATCAGAAACAAACATTAAATATCCAAAATGAAGGGAGGTATCTACATCTCCTTCAGTCAATTTTTCTGTATGATCTCACAGAAGCATGCTTTGTGAACAGACACATACACACACAATTTACCTCATAAACTGATCGTCTTGCTTCCATGAGCTTTGTTATGAATAATTCACTATCCTCTAACATTCTTGACATCCTGTTCTTATGCTCAAGGGCCTTTTCTCGTTCCAGTTGCATAGTTGTGATCTGTAACATACACAAAACTAAGTCCATATTACTGATACATTCCAAATTATTGTTTGTGCATGCGCAGCCCAAGCATTTTTCTTGCCTTATTCAGATGCCAGTAGTATCTAAATTCAACCACTTTCACACTTCAGTAAGCCTATTACTTGTTACTTAATAGTACACAGAAAATTAGCTTGTGTAGAAAATCTATGCAAGACCTTTGATCACCTTTACTACAAAAAGAATTCTGGATTTCACAGTGCCTAAGTAAAAAAAAAAAAAAAAAACAGTACTAGCAATCACAGAACTGCAGAATCTATAAAACATTCAAACAAGTTAATTTCTCTTGCTAGGAATAGTTTACATAATTTATTCCAGTCAAAGGACTTGCATTCTGTGATGGCAGAATTTGCAAATCACGATTCCTTGATTGCAGCATTTCCAATATCATTTGTTATTATATGATAATTTTTGCCATATAATAGCATCAATAATAATTCTCTCTATTGGGAAAAGTAAATTATTATAAGGGTCAGAATCTTATTTCTACAAATTAATGGGGTGCATGGGATAGCAAAATATTTATGTCACAATCTGAATGCCATGTCCCCCCCCCCGCCGTCCCCCCAACACACACAGAGCCACAACATAGAAAGACTCAGACTGGATGCCTCTCTGAAGTCAGAAATTAGTTTTGGATAAGAGAAGATGGGATGGGACAGGGAGGGAAGGAGGCTGAGACCAATGGTGTATACCAGGGGTGTCCAACTCGAGAAGGGCTATGAATGCAGCCCAACACAAAATAATAAAACATGAGATTTTTTTTCAATTTTTTTGGTAACTCGATCACGCAGTTCTCCAGTGTGCACTTTGTAGATGACAAAGTCATGTTGCAATGTCACGTAGAATAAACATACCTATGCTCTCACTATCTGTACACGTGTGGCCAATGGCAGACTGTGGCTTCCAGTGTGTTATCATTCAAGCGCAGACAGTAAAATTTACACCATCACATATTACACGTGTGCTCATGGAGACTTGGCGAGTGAAACGTAGTTATTATCAATAATCTTTCAACCTACCATTGCAAACAATTTTATATATTTTGACACATTAGCTAAACACATTCCTGTGGACAGCAAAAAATACGCAGATTTCAAGATTTCTGGGACAATAAGCACTATTTTGGTATATTTGCGACTCCATTTTCAGTCGATATAAATATGTCACCTGCCAATTTTCAAATAGAATGTATAGAGCTGCAATCTGACATTCAACTTAAAGAAGAAATTGATCATGGACTTTTATAGGTCTTATAATCCCAGAGACAAATATGCCTTGCTTCACAATCATGCCTTATTCATGTCTTCGCTTTTTGGAAGCACCTACATTTGTGAGCAACTATTTTCAAGAATGAAACACACTAAGAGTAAAATTAGAACCAGAATATCAGATAAGCACCTTGAGAACTCACTGAGAATTGCAACTATTTCCATCGAACCTGATACTGATCCATTAGTTTCTCAAATACAATGTCAAATGTCCCACTAGTTTTATGTTGCCCTCTTTTCTTTTTATAATAAAAAAATTAAAAAATCAATTAAGTTTTATTACTTAGATATGTTCATTTTCTCTATTAGTGATCACAAACTTTGGACTTGGTCGACGATTTTAAAAGACTCCAGATGGGGTGCCACATAATTATGATTATGCGGAGACTTTTTTGCTTATCTGTGGTGACAGATATTGTGAAAATTATGCACACATTTTTTTTGCTTATCAGTTTTTGTTAGTGTTTGTGTATTTAATGTGTGGCCCAAGACATTTTTTTTCCTTCCAATGCAGCCCAGAGAAGCCGAAAGGTTGGACACCCCTGGTGTATACCATATCCAAACAGTGCCCCAGCTTCCTTTCCTCCCCCTTCATGGTGCTTCAAAAATGGCTGTAAGGATGAAATGCAGGTTGCAAGGCAGCAAAGCCTGCCTTTGCTACACCCTGGTTCATGCACTGGATGGACAGAAACCACAGAAGTTCTGAGGCTTTCGGCCCATCAAGTGTAGAAGGCACTGAATCACACACTTAATTAAATTATAGGCCAAACAAATTTAAAACATTATGTTGTGGTGATTTACACAAAATAATTAAATCATTCAAAGTCATAAAATGAACCACTGAAAAACCAAACAGCATAACCCATTTACTTAATTATTATTTCTATCTGAAACTAATCTCCAGTTCTGGTACCTAGAGTGCTTCTCTGCACTATGCTTGAGCTTCTGCACCTCTAACTTTTGAGTTTCTTCAAAAACCTCACCCTTTCTTCTTCTTGCTGTTCCCAAAGATCCATATCCCTGATTCTTTGCTCTTCATAGGCACTCTTGATTAGAGGAATTTCTTCCAAGCGTTTTGCTCTTTCAAAATAATCAATCTAAATACAAGAAGAAATGTTGATTGCTCAGGTTATATATAAAAATCACCAAAAAGTACCTGTTTCACCATCACCATACTATTCACCAATTCTAGCATTTAAATGCTGCAATCCTTTCATTATACCTTCTTTTCCTGATTTTTCAATCGTTCTTGCAGTTCTTTCTTTTCTTTTTCTAGCTGTTCAACCTGTTTTGCCATAATGAAGTCTGGGTCCAATTCTTCAAGATCCTATAACAGATTGGGCATAGAATATAAAGGAAAGCATTGATCATGATAGAAACATATCCCTGTGTTTTAAATATTTCACAACTTTCCACAAAAAGACATTAACAATTTTCAATAGTTAGAAAATAACTACATTAATTTCAATCAATTTGTGGCAATGTCATTAATGTTATCAAGCTTAATCAAAACAAAATTGAGGTGCTGTTGTAGGTTGGTTTGGTTACGTGGGACTGCACCTCCCTGAAAGTCCAGGTTTGCAGCTTAGGGGGCTATGAGATAATATTTTGGCCATGGATACTCAACTGCAATCTGTGGCATGAAGTTACTTCCACTAATTTAGGATTTGTGTACCAGCTGTGGCCATTCTGTGATAAAGAATAGCAAGAACACTTTTACCTGTGTTCTGCTAACAACGGGTTGCTTACTGTAACATGCTGCATATCAGTATGTCTTTAAAATGGTTCAGAGTATAGCAACTAGCTTACCAAGTGGGACCTGATATTCTGAATATGTTTTGATAATGTTAAAAGAGCATTGGCTTCCAAAATGCAATAAAGTTCCAATTTTAATTTTTGAAGAAAGCACTTGCATTGACACTACAAAAAACTTGGGGAGGCTGAAAGGAGGGTTCTTTCTTCTTTTCCTCCCCCAAAAGCAACACATGGGAAAGAAGCTAATCAATTTCTACATGTGGAGCTTTTCCAGACAGCACAATAAGTGCCCTGCTATTGCTGCCTTCTATCAAAGCTATTGGTAAGAAAGAAAAGCAATCCCCAACTGAAAGGAGAGGTTGTTTCTTTGCCTTCCTTCTGGACTTTTGCATAGCCCACAAGCCAGAGCAGGTATACAATAACTTCATATTTTCTACATACTTGCCCTTGGAAGATAGGGAAAAATGAACAAGTTATCAAAGAAAAATGTTGAATTACTTCAATATCAATATCCTTGAAGGCCTTGGCTCCTAGTTCAGTCTTCTTGATCTGCTCCAAACGTTCACGAACAGTTTTCTTTTTAATCTGCTCATGTTCCTGCAGAATACGCTCCTTTTCACGCTCTTTGGCCTCCTGGCGCAATCTCTCCTCTTCAGCTTTGCGAACCTTTTGAAGTTCAGCTTCACGTTGCTCCAACTCTTCTTTCTCACGCTGAATATTCAAGCTCTCAAGACGTTCCTTCCTTTCCTCAATAGTCTGACGGCGAGCAAGGATACGCTGATGTTCTTTCCTTGAATTTTTTAAGTAAGCTGTAACAGCCTGTTGATGTTGCTCTTCCTTGTCGAGCTGAGTAAAAATTAAAGACAAAACAAAATACCCTTTAAATTCAAATACCAAGAGAAAAAAACAATGCTGAATTCTGCATAATTACTAATGCATTTTTTCTGTGTTGTGTTTATGTTACCTATAAAATACTGTGTGACTGAATACTTCTCACAATTAAATGTCAGAACTAAAACATGGTTATTTTATTGCTTATGTGCATAATCCACCCAAAGAGCCTGTGGGGTATGGGGCAGTACAAATGTGAAATAAATAAATAAACAAACAAACCACACAGGCAAGTATTTCTAGGATTAGGGCATCTAAAAAAGTGAAAACTAAAACACACTGCAATACATGTGTCAGGCCAAATACCAGTACACAATTCAAGTATTTCAGGGAAAGAAACTCCTATGTATTCAAGTTCCACCTTTAAATCTATCAGATATGCATACATGCACAGATCAAAACTGCAATAAGTATTACTGAGAAGCAATGGAAATGTGATTTTTGTCTGTTTTTCTTTGTATTATTTACATTGTACCATTAGTGCTAGAGAAGAGTTTGTGTGCATTCACATCAGAGTGCATGCACTGAAATAACATAAAATGGATTCAGTACCTTTTACCAATGCAGAAACTGAATACACATATACACACACTTTCATTTATCTGAACCCTTTCTGGTTCAAGGGAAATGCTCTCATGTCAGATATTAAACTAAACCAAATACACTGAAGAACAGATTTATTTCAAGTAGTAAAGTAGGATGAACATGGTAACAGTCATGCTTTACAACTGAAACTCTTCCTTAAAATTGTACACAGACAACCCTATAGTCATAAGGTTAAAACTTCCCTCACCATATCTCTTTTACTACCTTGATTCTCTCCAGGATTCTATTAACAGTGCACCCCCATTCAGGAGTTAAGTCCCACAGCATTCTAAAGAACTGGCTTTTAATTGGGTAGAGGAATGCAATCTGAGTGCAATCCTAATTAATGTTCAGATTATGTCTAAATGTGCACAGGACTGTGCCTTTACTCAGCTAAACCTACACTTAAAAGGGGAAAGAACTACAGGTGATGAATGTTGTTCTGGTGCTGTGCTGACTGTAGATCTTGCTAAATCTCCCTGCCCTTTACTCCCATTCTCACCCCTTGCGGGTGATACAGTCACATATACCTTACCACTCAGTAGTAGCAGTGCATCATTGAAGAGGAAACTCCAGCATACGCTCTTCTGATAACTACTAGATAACTATTTCCACATGTTGCTCAAATCAAGTTTCCACTAGAATATTTGCCTATTGGATCCTTGCCCGTCTTGGTTAATAAATAACTCCAAGCACAGGATTGGGACCTGGATCTTGGAAGTGGTTAACGCTTCTCTGAGGGAGGGTCGAGTGCCTGCCCCTTTAAAGGAAGCGGTAATACAACCGGTCCTGAAGAAAGCGTCACTGGATCCAGAGATGGCCACTAACTATAGACCTGTGGCCAACATCCCGTTTCTGGGCAAGGTGTTGGAGCGAGTGGTGGCGGGACAACTCCAAGCACTCTTGGATGAAACTGATTATCTGGATCCTTTTCAGTCCGGCTTCAGACCCAGGTACAGTACTGAATCTGCCTTGGTCGCCCTGTACGATGACCTGTGCAGGGAGAAGGACAGGGGGAGTGCATCCCTGTTGGTTCTTCTGGACCTCTCGGCGGCTTTCGATACCATCGACCATGGTATCCTTCTGGATAGGCTAGCGGGATTGGGGGTTGGAGGCACTGCTTTGCAGTGGTTCCGCTCCTATCTCAACGGTCGATTCCAGAAGGTAGTGCTGGGGGACCATGTCTCTACATCATGGCAGCTATGCCATGGAGTACCACAGGGGTCCATTCTATCCCCTCTGCTATTTAACATCTATATGAAACCGCTAGGAGAGGTCATCAGGAGGTGTGGGCTGCGGAATCATCAATACGCTGATGATACCCAGCTCTACCTCTCGTTTTCCACTAATCCAGGTGAGGCAGTGGCTGTGCTGAACCGGTGCTTGGCCGAGGTAATGGAATGGATGAGGGCCAATAAACTGAAACTCAACCCAGACAAGACGGAGGTCCTGCTGGTTGGCGGATCGGGCTTCGGAGAGGGTGGATTTGACCTGGTCCTGAATGGTGCAACACTCCCTCTTACGGATAAGGTCCGCAGCTTAGGAGTACTCCTCGACCCGGAGCTTTCTTTGGAAGCTCAGGTGACAGCGGTGGTGAGGAGCACCTTCCTTCAGCTTCGGCTGATTAATCAGCTGCGCCCCTACCTGGAGTACGACTGCCTGGCGACGGTGACACACGCGCTGGTGACTTCCCGCCTAGACTTCTGTAACGCGCTTTACGTGGGGCTTCCCCTGAAGACAGTCCGAACACTTCAATTGGTGCAAAATAGAGCTGCCAGGTTGCTGATGGGGCGTTATGCTCACATGACTCCAGTCCTCCGTCAGCTTCACTGGCTTCCCATTGAAGCCCGGGCCCAATTCAAGGTGTTGATTATGACCTATAAAGCCCTAAATGGCTTGGGTCCTGGCTACCTGAATGAGCGCTTACGTCCGTATATGCCCGACCGCCCTTTGAGATCTGCGGGAGAGTCGCTTCTCCGGGAACCCTCCATGAAAGAAATTAGGAGAGTAAGTACTCGGAGGAGGGCTTTCTCTGCGGTGGCGCCCAACCTATGGAATTCACTCCCCAAAGAGGTCCGCCTGGCACCGTCGTTACTGGTTTTTCGGCGCCAGGTAAAGACCTTTTTATTTAAACATCATTTTAACTGTTAAAACATATGATCTGGCCAGGGCAACTTCTTCTTCCTTCTCTTTTCTCCTCCTATATTATTTATTTACTTATTTTATACTGATAATGTTAATTTTATATTATTATGTTTGTAACTCAGTGTATTTTTTGTATTTTTGTATTTAATGGTAATTTATTATGTTCTATTGTATTTCAATGTATTTTATTGTGTTGTAAGCCGCCCCGAGGCTTCGGCAAGGGGCGGCATAGAAATGTTATAACAATAATAATAATAATAATAATAATAATAATAATAATAATAATAGACATGCTTCCTGCTTTTGATGAAAATGTAAGTACCAAGCAGCCTTCAACACAGGGCAATGAAACATTTGAACTACTTTTGACTGTTTTAACTGAAAGTATAGGAACAGGAAAAGAAAAGGTCATGAAGATATAAAGTTTGGGAATACGGACTGGATATTAGATGTGCTTCTAAAAAAATAGCTAACCTATCTGTTTGGCTGTGCAACTGCTTTATCACACATATATGCAGTACACAAATTGGACAGACATATGATTTATCATGAGTTACAGCAAGCTTATGTTTCATTATGTAGGGAATGATCCGATGGTTCCTAGACTTCGTCTGAGGACCCACAGGACATACTCAACACATATCAGAACATTCCCAATTCCAAGGTTGAAGACTGCACTCCAATCTCCCTGTCCACCTCCTTGCAGCAAGCATGGGAAGAACAGCAGTTGCAATCTAAGATCAGAAAAACAACCTGAGGTTGAGGGAGCATTTCAGGGGATGAGAAGGAGAAGAGATTGGAGTGGAAGTCCTGAAGCCTTTCTATTCTCTTCCTCTCCTGCTCCAAGATGTCCCGAGTTAGGCAGGCAAAAAAGCCCTTCTAGCGAAAATCCAGGGTGGAAGAACAGGGAGAAAAAAATCACCTCTGCCACTCCTCACACTTTGCATCAGAGTTCAGGGGTTCACTGGCATCCCAACAGGATTGTGTTCTTAATTTTTCTGCTGGTCTAATTATGACAGTGCTGAACAAATAAGAATGTGAACTGTGGTTTGCTTTCAATCAGTCCAGTTGTGTTAACTAACACAGTCACCACCTTCTGTAAATATAAAGAACAAAGTTCTAAGAGGATCAAATAAAATGAAGCTGTGTACAAAGGTTTTAAACCTATGCACCCAACCATCTTCCTTTTATTTGCTCCTCATTAGTTTCTCAACTTATAAAAATGCTGTAATTTACCAATAAGAGAGTCAAACATGCATTGGAGGGAAGAGAGAAAATAAATAAGTGGCATTAGTGGCATGACAATATTTCCTAAGGAGCATCAATATTTTTTAAAGTCATACCTAAAACCTTCTGACTTACCATGAGGTGAGGTGGCTTAATCACTTCAAGAGCCTTTGCAAGAGCAGATGACATAGCGGTCAACTGATTCCTGATCTGCTCAGAAGGCATGCTTTGCAGCTGAGGTCCAAGAGGAGCATCTTCCCGTGTGCAGTAGTTCAAATCTGACCCAAAACTCAGTGTTCGAGTAGTATGATCAATTCGAACCTATTAAAACACAAGGTGAAGCAATTCAGAAGTGAGATAAGTTGTGCACAGCTTAGGACCTGAATATCTGATGGAACACCTCCACCTATGTGCTAAGGCAAGGATAAATTTTTTGGTCTGAGGATGAAACTCAATGTTGCCAAGCCTGTTGGGGTTAGTATATTAGCAATGAGTAGCAATACATCCTAAGCAGCTGAGGCTAACAGATTTCAAGGGCAGAAGTAAGTTTTCAAGGAAACAGGTTGCAGTGCAGGGGAGATAAAAAATGGCCTTCCTGCCTGAGCAGCAACTACTCCATAGCCCCTACATTATAATTAACCTTTTTAAAGTCTCCACTGGAATCAATGGGAGATCAGAACAGTGATTTCTTTTAGTGGTGGTGGTATATGAAAGTGAACAGTACCCAGGAAGAAGGGTGGGCTTAGGGTAGAATTGGAGGTTGGATGGGTGAGAGTATGGAGCCTAAGAATAGGGGTAAGTTTAGGACAGAACAGGATGTGGACCTCCCACAGGCCATATGCTGCCCATCCCTGTCATTATATAAACTGTGGAGAATCTACCCCAAGCCCTCCCTGATTCTGAAGCACAGAGATTGGCTACTAAAGAGAGAGTCTTCTCTCTACTATCTCATCAGTTATAAAATGTTTTCCACAAGGAAATGTTTGTCAACCACATCAGGCAGCTTCACACATCAAAACAAGCAATGGTGCTGGTTACCATGACTGGCAGTTGGTTACCATGATGGTTATGAATGATGAGGCTCTGAATTTATCCATTGAATAATGGGAGCAGCAACAGAGTTATGTCCAGCTCTGTTTTTTATTTAGACCAGCCTTTCTCCACAGGGGCTCCCTGGAGCCCTAGGGTTCTGCTGAGGGCTTTGTGAGAGCATGGAAATGTAAACGTGTTTTCACATACATATGTGCATGTGCTTATAATATAAACACACGAACACAAGTTAATTGCCTGAGGAACCCTTCAACTTGCCCCAACTGCCTAGGAGATGGGAACGATCCCAGGGAGAATCTTTGCCCATTAGGGAAGGGACTGGGGTGGGCTGCCTGTGGCAGTGATTCCACGTGACTAGCACTAAACAACCAGAAATGGTCCTTATTTTACATCCTCCTTTCGTCGCACACCCCCTCCATGATTTATAGACAGGTGCTGGCCACTGAGATGAAGGGGTAAGAAATGGTCAGTGAGCAGGAGGAGGAGGAAGTGGTGAACCACTGGTGAAGCCTGCATGGGTAGCAGCAATCAATCTCTGGGGCACAGTGCTAAGACAAGAGAGAGGAAGCAGCAGCTGCCTTCATGCCTGGTTGGTGAACCCTTCTCACAGGCAGATCAAGCTGGGCTAGTCTGGTCTTTCTTAATCTGCAAAGCCGTTCTTATGGGGAGGCAGAGTGGTTTGTCACATTAATAAACAGCAACAGCAATATAAATAAAATTAAATACCATAGTATTTTTGAGTACATGTGCATAGAATGGACTGAGGGGTTTATCAAACTTATAATAACTGTCATGCTTATTATACATATTATAAATATGCTTATAATAATTTTTATGCAGGGGTTCCCTGGGACACAGAAGGTATTTCAAGGTTTCCTTCAAGGCAGAAAGTCTGATCTATATAGCCATTTTTCGCCATCTAGTTTAGATACTTCAGATGAGGTGAGAGGGAAGCTGGAGCACCAATTAAGATACTTCCATCCTGGTAGCCTCAGTCTCCTCCTCTCTCCCTGAACCACCCCCTTTAATACACTCTCTGACATCTATTTTCTGACCTCAGAAAAGCAGCCAGCACAGTTCTTTCCACACCCAGCAGTGAAGAAGGTATGAGACTGGAGCACAGATCCCCAGACCCAAGGTCAGAGCTCTGTCTGTACCCTTGGACCTGGGAAATCAAATTAACCTGTGCCACCACACACGCTGTCTGGGGGCATAAGAGCAATTTCTAAAGTCCCTTGATTATTACATTTTTAACATCTCGAGTATCTTACTTGATTAACAAACGTTGGTACAAGAATCACCTAAACCTGCATGATGTTACATGAGAAAAACAGCATATATTTTTTTAATTGCTTTTTAGACACTTCCATCTCAGCAAACCTGTTGTAAGAGGCATTCTTCCTTCTCGTGTATAGGAAGTAACTCTTTTAAGACAAAGCTTCCTATCTGCAGTTTTATATATACTTCTATTAAAAACAGTATTTCAAAAATGTTAGCTGATTAATCAAGAGGCACATTAATCATTAACCTAAATTAACAAGCAACTAAGACTGGAAGTTGCAGTTTCTGTAAAAACATGACATGACTGCACCTAAAATGCTGCAGTCCATTTTCCAATTATACTGTAAGAAAGCTAGTTTGTATATTCCAAGAATCAACTATTTGAAAAAGAACTTAGGTTGACAGAGTTCAAGCAAACCTTTTGGTCTGAAGGGCTGCATGTGACACCAGCCCAGGGGCTAGATTCATGCACACACACAATCTCAATGAGACTCTCTGGGGGAGGGAGTAAATAGCTAACATGCTGGGAAATCAGTAAGAGGAAATCCAGTGGTGGTAGGTCAAGGCACCAATGAAGAGATCTTAGATCTGCATGCAGCACTTGGGTCTCAAATTGTGCATACTGAGTAATGAAAAAAAATGTTCAACATACCATATTCACTTTACTAGAGTATTCTAGAAAGAGTAACTGTTCCCATTAAAGAATACTCCTTTACACTGAAAGAGAATTTGTTGGGACTCCTTGTTTTAGATAAATCTTTGAATAAAAAGTGGTTGTCATGTTTTGAATAAACACATTTTAATCCAAAAACTTAGATTTACCCACCTATAAGCTTTTGAAACTCTTCTATAGCACTTACCTGCAAATCACAATGTCTGGCTGCATCTACAATTGCACGTTCCAGTTGGAAAGCATCAACAAAAGGAACCAGAGTAGTCAGGCGAGAAAATTCGATGCTTTGATAAATTTGGGCCACCTGCATAACATATGAGTATTGAACTCTTGCCAATCGATCATTACAATACTATACAAGTATTTAATTTTTAAAGAGATTAATCACCTTAGCCAATGGTTTAACCTTCAATCATCATTATTCATATTTAAAGGAACACCTAATATTTGATGTCAGCATTTATTCAAAGGAACTGTTGACTCTCCTGAGCAGCAAATTTGTACGGAGGAGACTGACAGCAAACACTAAATCAACCAAGCTGCTAATTAGCCTTCAGTCATTCCTTTAGCACATAAGAAATAACACTGCTTGCTAATGCAAAGGAAGCAGGTTAATGAGGCATGCAGCTGGAAATCCATTCAGATAGAACATTTGCAGTATTAGGAATGAATAGATGGTTTGCAGGCTAGAAATACCATATACTCAATCCTAAACATATGACAGTGATTCACAGAGTCTTTGGACTCATTCAGAGAATCACAGAAGAGTTGGAAGGGGTCAGAAGGCTTTCGGGTCTAACCCCTTACTCAGTGCAGGACTCCAAAGTTAAACCATCTCTCTGAGATGGCTGTTCAGTAGTATGTTGAATGCCTGTAATGTGGAAGAGCCCACAACCTCCCTAGGTAATTCGTTCCATTGTCTTACTGCTCTATCAGTCACAAAGTTCTTCGTGATTTTCAGCTGGAACCTGGCTTCAGAACACAACAATAAAGTGGCTTACGGGAAATGTACTGTTTCATATTGTTATGCAAATATCACAAACAGGACACAGAGAGTGGAACTATGGCAGAATTTTGCTTCCTCCTTCAACAATTAAGCACAGTCATTGAACCATCTGTACAGTTCTTACACATATGTGTACTAAATGAACATTCCATTGGAAACCTTGCTTCTGCAGGCACATATAAATCAGAGGTATCCTCAAAGGCACCAAAGTACATTCCCCTCCCCATGTTCACTTGTACATCTGACAAAAGCAGTGGAACATATATTCCTTTTTTATGCACTACTGAAAGCAGTGTTGCTTCCATACTACTTCTATTCACATTAGCACAGACTGTATAGTTGCATTAACACATTAACAAATTGTGTAGTCACTTAACACAGGAACTTCCCTGACTTTTAAAAAACACTCTTAACAGGAATTATGGTTTTAGTATGAACTACTGTTCACAGCTTTAAAAGCTTAAGTCTCTAACTATCTGATTTTTCACAGGCTCGAGGCACAGAACAGAAAATTCTCAAACCACTTTAATGGATGACTGATGTAAGAATACAAAAAAGTTAACTCCAACATTGTATCTACTTTGAAGATTGTTTTGTAACCATACCTGTTGAAGCAGTCTAAGGATGGTGTTGTTTTGCAGATGAGGAATATATAATTGTAGTTCTGGCTCCTTTTCAGATTGATCTTTTACCCAGTTTAAAACCTATACAGAATCAATTAAGAGACATCAGGACTAGTTCACAAACTACTTTTTTGTCAATAAAGTGCTTCATTTTTTCCAACACAGAACACTGTTCCACTCTTCTCAAAAGCACACTCTTGAGATTTACTGGAACATGTAGCCGATATTTATAAATCTTGGCCAGCCAAGCTTTTGCCATCTCAGAGAAATAAATTCCAAATTCCAAACTGTGTAAGAAAATCTACAGCCAAAACTTTGGCACTCTCTCAGCGTGCTACGTGGTTTCCCACACAATGCCTCCTATGGGATACATAGAAAAGCTTGCACAAATGAATATTAATACATTCTAAGGCAAGCCTTAAACTTTTTCAAGACAAATCAAATATACCCCATTCATTTTAATTTCAAGATCACAAAACCATTATTTAGGTCAATCACTAATGATGGTTCAATCACTAATCAGTTTAGTTCAACCACTTCTAACCTTTTACAAAGTGTACATCAGGTTAAATTTTGTCTGAAGGTGACTGACAGTGATGATTATGTATATCACACTGCTAATTTACCTTCACCTATTATTTAGCACATCAGAAATATCTTTATTCTTACAGGTGTTAAGAAAAAGACAATGAAATGTGCTTTGTTTAGTACAAATGAAAGGAATTACTCCCACATGACAACTAAGGCTATGCTTCTGAACACACTAGAAAATATTTATGAGGAAACAAGTGTAGGATTACACTGCCAGAAACAGTTATTCCATTTCCTAACCTGTACAAGACCATCTTAACCAGCTGTTTAAGAAACAAAGCTCAGGAACTTATCCGTGATATTTTCTGGGCATGTTAAATAATGAAACACTAAAGAATGATTGTTGAACTAGGTAAACAGAGAGTGTCTAAATTTACATTTTTTTAAGAATGCATAGTCAGCATTTTCATCTACTTAGAAATTCAAGAAGCAAATTGGAATGCTAGTTAAAATAAACTAAAATAATGTATTAGAAGAGAAACACATACAGCTGAGCTTGCATTTCAACAGTGGTTTCTGTAATAAAAGATTATGTTTCATTCTTAAATGAATTAAGAGAGCAATCATACATCCCCAGACAGTATCTGGGATGCCACAAAATAATTCAGATTTCCAAAACCAAGACAGTGCCCCAACTTTAGACTTGGGAATCCATGTCAATCCAAATTCTGAAGCTTATGATAATCAAATGCACAACCCATAGAATTATTTTCTAAGACAAACTTGAGTCATGTATATTAAACTTAAGGGATTACTGTGGAAGCCAAAATAGGAAATGGTAGGAACACCTTAGAAATGCTCAAGATAGGTAGCAACTATTTTGCAGGAAACAAAAAAGTTAGCACTTGCCTTGCAGACACGGTCACATAACTTTAGTGGATGAAAATCTACTTCAAGCCAGTTATAAAGCTCCTTAACATCTGGGACAACGTACTGTATTACATTGAATCTCACCTACAAAACATGAATATTTAAAGAGCATTTCAAACAAGCTGTAAACACGAATAAGTCATTTCAATAGATATGCTTATATAAAAATGCAATTTAAAATAGACAATATATGACACGGACCTGGTTTATACATTATGGAGGCAAACTGTGGGTTAACAAACCATTGGTCAACTGAGTGTTCTTAAAATATAAACAATCCAAACTGTCCAGTACTGGACAGCATACCAAGTCCTATGTAAGAGGTGTTTATGCAAAAAGGAAACTACCAGGACGTGTACTGCATGCAAGTAAATCATGAGTTAATTTACCCAGGATTTGCCACTCTTAAATGGTTATAATGGTTAATAAATGCTGAATCCACAAGCAAATGCAACAAGAACATAGATCTCCATGTACTGGAATGCCTAGAATGTTATCTTTAGAATTTATTTCACTTAGTAAAAATACATTTCAAGCCACCTTTTAAACCACTCAAAGTCTCCACAAGCAGAAATCATTCTTTGTAGATGTGGAACCGAGTGGACAACATGCTGTCTCCACTGAAATTTGTCACAGTGGCAGTAGTGAGGTCCGCTAGGGGTAGGGTAAACAAGGTGCAGAAGTGATCCATAGAATGCCCAAGGTTGCCCACCCTTGCTGTGCAACATTAAGGGATTCCAGTTGCTGCTGCGGCTTGCAGCTTAACTGGATTGCAGAGAGAAAGCTGTATCTGTAAGGAAATGATGAAATTTTTAGTTTTATTAGTTTTATGTAATTGTCATATCTTTCTAAATTTATTAAGCTTTACTAAAGCTCTTTTCAACCAAGGATGCAAACTTCTTTTGATAATTTGAGTCATAATTCTGTATTACAGAGAAGAATTACCACTATGCAAAAATAGTTTCCAAACAATTACCATATCATTAATAAGAGAAATTCGTGTAGGTGGAGCCTGGAGGCCCAACAGTGTAGCCAATCGCCGCTGCTTTTCAACAATTATGCCATCCATGTCCAGAAGCCGAGCAATATCAGTTCTTTCAGGAGTTATTGGAATTGACAGAGTAGCTAAAAGGACTCTTGTTGACATCCTACAACAAAAGGAAGTCAGCATGGAAGAAGTTAGATTATGCATTATTAAGGGCACAAAACCACAGAGCCTTATGATCATATGAAAAGTAGCAGAGATAATCTCCCTCTCCATGTTCTCAATCACTGCATTTTCTGGCTAGACATTTTTGCCTTTTCCCATTTTTGCCTATGGCAAAAGGCAAGGATTGAAAGCTCCAGGACAGCTTGTATCCTGCCTTCTTCAGCCCCCTACTTGTCAATGAAAACACCCCCTTTCACTATTTTTAAGGTTGCTTCCCTCACCTCAGAAGGAAGTCAGCATGATCCATCCCATGCCAGCTTTGAAAGGATGAGGAGGTCAGTTTTCCTTTTCCCCTGCTCTGAGGTTGGGAAATCTAAACTATTGCATGGTTTCTCAGTCACTGTCTAGGGACTATAGGATTGCAGTGTCCATTACCTTAACCTCTAGTCCAGATAGTAACATTTTCTAATTTATTTCTAATTTAAATGCTGACCTGCTACATATACTACACTATTTCAAAATCAGAACAAAATCATCTCAAAGTGTAAGTTTTCCCACCTTTGCATCTCTTCCTGTGTAAGATTCTTTCGCATTTCTCTTGAAAGATGGTAAAGACGATGAAGCGTAGATGCATGAAAGAGTGCATTTCCTGATTTCCAGAAGACAGTAGAAACTTTATGATAATAGTTTGCCATCAGCTGGGGCTTTGGTGGTTTTTTGGACAAGGAGAATAATCCATGTATATCTTCCACAGCTTTGAAGGCTTCCTGAAAGCATTGTGCAATACAATGTAATACACATTTTTATACACTTACTTATATAGTCATTATACCAAGTTGTGAACCTGAGCAACTTTAACTGGAAGAGCTTATTGGTAAGTTGTACATACAATTACATGGAATATTATGCTCAAATGCTACATCCATGTAGTTCTGTGCTACAAGATCTTTGGGCAGAGCAATCCTTTGCCTATAGATAACACTCAGAGGGACATATGATTTTATGGAGCACCCTCTCTCCCTGTTTGCGGCCAGCATGGAAAGAACCATGCTAGCTTTCTCCAAGGTAGCAAAAGTATCCTGAGGCTTCGGTGGCATTCCAGGGGGAGGGAAGATAACCAGTGCCACCAAGGTATGACATAACCTGGTAACACTTTAACTTCTTCCCCACTTGCTTCAAAGTGTTTCAGCAGGATAACTGAAAACATAAATCTAACTGATTTACAGGGCAAGAGAAAGATTTAAGGAAATCTGCACCTCCATGCCCCTTTCACCCACCATAGGATACTCTTAAGTTTCTCTTTTTCTCCTCTCCCCAACAGATCTCCTATGTCCCTCAATCTGTTCTGGAGGGTTTCCCAACCCTCTGAAATGAATTTGTGGCATGCAAGGAAGATGCAGGGAAATTCTGATCCACCAGAGGCCTATATTTCCCTGGGAGAAAAAAACCAGTGGATACAACCCAATAAAGGTAAACAATGAAGACTCAAGCAAACAGTTCAGTGCTTCCAAATTGTCTAAGTACACACCTGCCAGAGTTCCATGCTGATCGCACTATCCAACTGTACAAGCCTGGTCTCCAAGTGCATCGACTGACTCTCTGGATTATTCAGATTAATGGCAGTGCTTTGATTGTGATGACGCTGGATCTGACCCAAATGCATTCTTAAGTTGTCACAGAGTTTGCGAAACTCAGCTTTACGAGTATATTGTAAACAGAATTTGAAAGCTGCAAGATTAAATAAATTCAAACAGTGAATGTTTTAATAGTTAAAGAAACAAACTAATGCTAAAATATGTATTAAGTCCCAAAATAGATTTGAAGCATCAGTCATCCAATGCTTAAGAAAGGTGTACTATTCCCTTTCAGTTCCTGAATGAAACTGAAGGTATTACTTTGTTCCTTTAAAACATATGTTTTAATTAATAAGTTTTGCTTCTTGTTTATTGCTCATCCCTCCTTCTCTCAAAAGTAAGCAACCAATAAGAAATCCAAAACCTTTTAAACCTCCTGATTCTAGAATATGCTCATTTCTCACTGTAATTTACATTTTACCTTGTTGCGCGATATCATGGTAGAGCCGTTCCACTCTAGAATTGTTTCTAAGAAGGTCCAAGCATTGTCTGTATGATTCCCATAAAAACTTAACCCAGGGAGTCAAAAGTAACCGATCAGTACGATCCTGAGTATCTTCTCCACTTACAGCACTCAGGAGGACACTATAGTAGAAAACAAAAAGAGTATTTTATTCTATATAATCTGTTGCTCATATTCCTCTTACTGGCCAAGGTTAGTACAAGGCAGCAGAATAAAATGCTAATTACAGGACTATGACACTGTTTAAAAGCATCTTTCAAGACCACAGGAAAGTAATTTTTGTTTTTAGCCAGCTATGGACCTGCCACATCACAGCAAGTCAAAATACATTCCAACTGGACCATATGCAAGGCTAAAAAAGATACTTGCTTGACAGAGGTTTGCATATGGGAGGAATTAAGACCACAAATTAGCAGGATGATTTTTTTTTTTATATCAAGTACACTTAACAAAGATAAAATTAAACCACAGCCTCCTACCTCTCTGGAGTCTGAATATTATCCAAGTCTTCTATATCAAGTACCATCTGCTGGGACTCTTCTTTAGCAGCTTCAGTTTTTTCTTCTGCTAGTTTTAAATAAGCCCGAACTACATCCTCCAAGGATTTGATATTCACCTATATCAAAATTGAAAGAGCTTAAGTAGTTTTTCTTAGACTTGAGGAGAAAGTATGTATATAGAAGATTCAAATTATGACACTAATTTATAGCAGAGTATAGCAAGTAAAATTCTGTAACATTTTACAAGCAATACATTTGAGAACAAGAGGGCTTTGTTTCTACTATTTGGATTTCAGAAAATGCTAGCAATTACTATGCTGAAGGTATCTACCAGGTGAAATCTACCAAGTTGTTTACACATAAATAAGTTCCCTATAAATTACAGGACTAACATGTAGATTCTTCCAAAACCTCTAGAAACATTTAACTTATTGAATGCTGATTTTTAGTGTCCCACTATTAATATTATTAAACTTTTTAAAGCTTATACCTGCTGGCAGATATTCTTATACTGATATAATCCTTCCTTTGCCAGATGGCTCTTGCGGAGGTCCACACAGAGCTCTAAGTACTTTAGCATAATCGGCTCGTGGATCTTTTGCCATGTCCGATGTTTTTTACTTTTCATAACATCATAGAGAACATCAAGAGCAGGCTGTTTCTTCCCAACCTCAAGAAATTCTGAAAAACAAAAAAGGAAATAAAAGAAGAACTGTTGTTAAAACTCATTTCCAGAACAAACAGCAAAGAAGAACTAACTTCAGTTAATCAGTAAGAGTAGGCATGAGCAAGCTTAGGCTAATGAACAGTCAGTCTCCAGGCTGCTCTTGTGGAAAATAAGATTCATTTACAAGCAACCAGGTTCAGCAACAATGGAGAAAACATTTTCCCTTCCCAGGATACTGATATGCCACAAAGCACGGATATAAGTGAGCAAGACAACTAAGTAACATTTGGTGAGCTAGCTTTTTTTGAACTTGACCCCCAAATTTACAAGATAACAAAATGGCTTCAAGAAGCCATTGGGAAAATAACCTTTGCAATGTTTGGATGCATAAATTTATTCCTAGCTTAGCACAAATTCTCTGTTCCAATATATTATACAATACTTGAAAATATTGGAAAAAATATTCCAATGGGTGTAACCTGAATCCAAGCAATGTCAATTCTCTTTCTGCAACCTCAGAAATAACTCAGATTCAAGAATATCTGTGCTAGCAGAATGTGTAATAACTCTTACATAGTCCTTCTAAGCTGTTCATATTTCCATGTCTTTTCAGTCTAAGCTATTCATAATCTGGGGCTCAGGCAGGAGATGTCAGGTTGAGCATGATTTCACTCTTCTCACTCTGTAGTCTTTTGATATGCAATTTCATCTTAGTTCAGACCAGAAGTTTAAAACACCAGGAAAACTGAACACCACTACTGTCTGAAATGAATACCTGGACCAATTTTAGACTGGTGGCTAATATCCCATTCCTAGGCAATGTGCTTGAGCAGCAGGTGGCCAGACAACTCCAGGCACATTCTGGATCCCTTCTAGTCCAGTTTCAGGTCTGGTTTTGGGACAGAAACTGCCTTGGTTGCCCTGTGGTATGACCTTTGCTGGGAAGACAGGGGTAGTATATATGCCTGTGATTCTTCTGGACCTCTCAGTGGCTTTCAGTACCATTGACCATGGTATCCTTCTGGATAGGTTGGCAGAGTTGGGTGTTGGAGGAACTCCTTTGGAGTAGTTCCACTCCTACTCAACCAGCTGATTCCAGAATGTGGTGCTAAGGGATTATGGATTTGTATCATAACAGCTTTGCCATGAAGTTCTGCAGCATTCCATTTTATCCCCCATGCTACTGCACATCTAAACCACTGGAAGAGGGATCCAGAGGTTTGGGCTAAAGTGTCAGCAGTATGCTGATGAAACCCAGATCGACCTCTTTTACATCTAACCCAGGTGAGCCAGTGAAAGTTCTGAATCAGTGCCTGGACAGTGTGATGGTCTGGATGAGGGCAAATAAACTGAGACTTGTTCCTGAAGACAGAGGCTTTGCTGGTAGGCAGTTCAGCTGTCCCAGTGAGTGATATCTGCCCTGCTCTGGACAGGGTTGCACTCCCTCTAAGGGACAGAGTGCGTAGTTTGGGAGTGTTCCTGGACCCAGAGTTATCTCTGGAATTCCAGCTAACTGCTGTGGCAGGGAGCACTTTCCATCAGCTTCAGCTGGTCCATCAACTATGTACTTACCTAGATGAGCAGAGTCTAACAACAGTAATTTACACTCTGGTAACCTCCCAACTGAACTATTGCAATGTGCTCTATGTGGGACTACCCTTGAAGACAGTCTGGATACTTGAGTTGCTATAGAATAGGGCTGCAAGACTTCCCTAAGACTGGCAGATCTGATCATATAATGCCAGTCCTATACCATCTTCATTGGTTACCAATTGAAGTTTGGGTTAATCTAAGGTGTTAACTTTGATATCCAAAGCCCTAAACAGTTTAACTAGGATATCTGAAGGAACTTCTTCCATACACACCTGTCTGAACCTTAAGATCTTCCACAGAGGACCTTCTTTGGGAACCCCCTCTGAAGGAGGTTAGAAGAGTGGCTACCCAGAAAAAGGGTTTTTCTGTAGTAGCATCCTGGGTTTGCAATCTGCTCCCTAGAGAGGTGTGCATGGTGCTGACACTTTCTTCTTTTTGGTGCCAGCCAAAACCTTATTTTTTCCAATACTTTAAGAGTTGGTGGCTTATTAAAATTGGAATTTTACTGTAGCTTTTTATATTTTAATGTGCTGGTTTGTGAGCTGTTTTGAGACTCATTTTGAGTAAAGACAGGGTAGAAATGTTTTAAATAAAATAAAATTTTAGAAAATCATTTTTTCACACCTTTCTTTAAATAGGGAGAAATCATGTTGGGCATTACACTTTTCTCACTGCTGGAAGATATAAGTCTCTAGAAAAGCAGATCAAGGTTCATCAAATACTTAAAAAAAATCCTTGCAAAACTATTTCTTTCCCTTAAGAAAAAAGCAAAGTTTGTAACAGAGTAGGGCAAGGGGGTTTTGTTATGCAAATATTTAAGAAAATGCTTAAGAATGTGGACATACAGGCAGTCCCTGGGTTACAAGTAAGTTCCATTCCTGAGAAAGCAGAAATTAATTTTTAAGTTGAAATTATATGTAAGTTGGATCACACAGGGTTGTCTCCCCACATTCATGTGAGTTAGGGGCACAGGATCTCTGTAAAAGCGGACCAACTGCAAACATCTCTGGCCCCATCCCCCACCCAGTCTCACCAGTGTTTCCTCTTTGCAGCAAGGAAATGCTTGAGAGATTTCCCTCTCCAGATGGGTGGGGTAGGAAGCCAAGCCCTCTCCTCCATTTCACCTCCTGTTTCTCTATGGTAATAGTGGTTTTCCGCAGTAATTTTTTTTAATCAATAAACTTTATGGCAGTTCATTTGTAAGCATGGGTTGTTCATAACACAGATGTTTGTAACTCAGAAACTGCCTATAATCTGTAGCAAGGAGTTCCTGTCATTATTACAACTAAAAAACTGTTTGTTTTTTCAGTTTCAGATTCTACATATTTATGATCCTACTAACTAAAAAGAGCCATGTAGGGCATGATCCTATGTGTGTTTACCCCTCCCCCCAAAAAAAGGGTTCCGGGGCCCAGCATTCCATGGTCCACCAGTTGGAGGACTCTCTTCTAAATATGCATAGGATTATACCCTTACTTTTACTTTTAAAAAATACTTATTGCCAATAATTACCATCCTATGCATAAAAAATTTGTTATGGTTGATAATTGGAAATTATCAATTATAATGGTTGATAATTGGAAATAAATGCATCAAAGATATTAGCAGCATAGTTTTTACAAATATTGTTAATTAAATTTATCCAGCCTTTATTCCAAAGAGTTTTGGATTCTATCATTCTCCCGTTCTACTCTCATAACAAGCCCATAAGGTAGTGGAGGCTGAGAGATAATGACTGGCCCAAGATCTCATGAAGACTTCATTCAGCCATGAAACTTACTTACTGGGTGGTTTTAGGCCAATCACAGACTCTCAACCTTGCAGCACAAGGTTGTTGTGAGGATAAAGGGAGTTATGTAAGCCATTTTGGGTTTCTCACATGAAAAAAGTTGGCATATAAATACAATGTAACAGCAACTACATTTTAACAACCACCACCCTATACTATTCTGGCTCTCAGAATATCACACTGGATACTAACACTTCAAGTCAATATAACCCTACTCAGAACTAAGTCCCATAGAATTTCATAAAGCTTACCCTCAGATAAGTGGGCACAGGGCCACTCTTTCAGTGATCTTGCTTACAAGGATACAGAAAAGGACTAACAGAAATCTTGACTCCTATTCAGAAATGGTTTGAAGTGCAAATGGCAGATTGGCTACAGGGCCAACCAAGGCTTGGGAGTCACATGAGGCTGAGTTTATTATGTGCCTTGACACACATCACCTGGGGCACCTGTGGGCAGCCACTGCCCACCACCACCATCTGTGGCTCTCAAACATTTGTCATCTACCTGTGTGGCTCTTCCACTGAGCAAGTCTGGCCACCACTGAACTATATAAAGGGCATATTTATTTACAAACTAATGGGTTATATATGATTTAGTCATACTTCAAATAGCCCCATTGAAACTAATGTTGCTTGTAATTATTTCAATAGGTCTACTCTAAGAATGAACAATTCCAAGATTCAACCCACTGTGTTCATTATTACTACTAAACAGTTATATTCCACTTGCAATATTGAAAACAAATACTTAAACACATTCATATAGTAAACTTGCTCAGGAAGATACGAAATTTCAAACAGAGGCCAAGACTTGAATAAACTTATCTTTTCCTTAAGTTAAATCAACTTTCCAATTTTGAAATTCATGAATGTCCTTAAAGATATTTGCTGAAGAGATTCTTGGTTCTACAAATATCAACATAATAAAATGACAGATTCCAAGCAAATTCAAGATCAGGATCCTGGTTAGTTATCCTTTAATTCACCATTTTAATACTGAATTTTAATAATGGATTTTTAGATGTTGAGTTTACTGTATTTTAGTAAATTTGGTTGCCCATCTCACCTGGACATGTTTTTAATTGATCTTTGCTATATATTAATCTGTGTTTAATTGCTGCCATAATTTTACTGTTATATGCCACCTAGAAGGTCTATGTGAACTACTTGGTGGCTTATAAATATATATTTGAAACTTTAATAAAGCAATTAAGAGAGCAATCTTATAACTGCTTTATTGATAAATATAGGGCCCTCAGACCATAAACCTGCCAGCAACAGCCAGGAACGCACCTCCAACTTTGTTGTTCAAATGCTATAAGCTGCTTGGCCTATCTGGGTAAGGACAGGTATTCACAAACCTTTTGGATCTTATGAATATACAACTTTCCTTCCTGCTCATAGCTACCCACACTCTTCCCATGTTCTCCAGCTGTCATGACTTTGAAAAGAGGAGCTACAGCAATGATTTCCAGAGCAGGTGGGAACAGTCAGACAGCCATTCTCAGATCTCCTCCTCTGTTCCCATAGCTCTAGTTATGGCCGTGCAGATTTATCACATCCTATAAGCCTTCAGATGCTAAGGACCATAGGTTTTCTCTGCCAGTGTCTTTATGATTCTAATCAGGCATGGTTTATATGTTGTCAACCAGCAGTCAACTCCTATCATATGTGACTACTAGAAATACAGCTTTAGGAATGATGGGAATTGTAGTCCAACAACACGTGGAAGACCACTGGCTTTCAACCCTGTCCTAGATGTTAGATAAGGATAATGTTTAGAGATGTGATGATCAGGGAAAAATTAGAAATATTCAGATAAAATTTCTGCCTCCTTCCCCAAATACCCCCATTAGTGGTTTTCTATTTTTTCCAATACAATTTCACTACAAATAAATGTGAAAACAACAAAGAAAAAACTGTCATGAGACTTTTTTTATCTTTTGGAATCAGTAAAATGCTTTAAGAATGTGAGGACCTTTATGTGAGAAAATTAGATTTTTACCATGGCAACTGATACACACACACACAAATAGAATGCATGTAGCTATACAGTTTAACTAGATAGCTCACTGTATTTATTGGTCTTTAATGCAGCAACCATGTAGGTGTTTCTTTCTAAGCAATACACTTTTTTAATACAAAATTTGCTTTAACATCAACTTTTATTGCAGGTATTTCTCAAATGGGAATAACTATGATAAATTAGCTTAGATTGTAAGGTGCAACATTTGCAGTGTTTGCAGGTGCACACGTGCTCTCTCTCTCTCTCTCTGTAAAATTTGCAAATTGTATTCACAATTTATCTTGTACAAAACTAAAATCCCAAACTTAAATGAGTTATTTGGGAGTAAGCTCCATTGAATTCAGTGGGGTCTACTTCTAATTAGATATGTACAGTTTGCATTGCAAGGCATTTCTGCTTTTGAGACTACAGCCTTATATGGGCTTAAATGGCAATATGCTCCAACAAAAAGAGTGGATCTCACTTCTGTGGAAGAAATTACAGGAGATGTGCACACACATGTAACTTGGCCAAAGCTGGCCTAGAAAAATATTTGAATAAACAGGTTTTGTAAAATTCATAAGTTTTATACAATATATTATTATACAGTATTATAAACTGAACTATAAGATACAGGTTTTATGCTGAAACTATAGTTTAAATTGAGGCTTGACAAATATTACATATATGTTCTGTTTTCCTCAAATTCCTGTAGCTTCAAAATTCCCAGAAATTTTCATCTGTCAGCGTACTGAGACATAATACCAAACTATTATTTGGTATTACAAAGCACCATTATATGTTATTAAAAAACCAATGGGAGCTTGAGGGTTGACCTTGTAATACTAAATAGAAGTTTAGCGTTATATCTCAATGTACTGATGAATGTAAAATTTTTGGGAATTTTACTGACATCATTGCAATGTTTCAGTGCAGTGCTCTCACACTCGTACTTCCCTTTGCACATCATGATTAGCATCTTTTCAACCTTGCTGCAGCAAACCTTCATTTTCTGTTTCATCCAAAGGCAAATAATAGATTGCAGCAAACCAGATTCGTACATTATAGCTTACCTATTCACATAAATAGGAAACTGTGGCTTGACACAAAAATATCTAGATGTTACTAAGTGCATCCAAGAAGAGAAGAATGTGTGCAAATTGGAAGCATTTTAACACTAAATCTTAAGCTGGTGTTACATCTGAATGCCCCCCAAAAAGCCCTTTTGAATCCAAGAAATGCTTAAATGTTTAGGTTTACTGATTCATAAAATGTTAAATATGCACATTTATTCAACTGGATCTTTTGCCAATATTTCCAACTGCTTCTTCTGAAATGTATCAGATTCTAAAGCTTACTATACATTAAACTGCTTGCATATAACCAGCTTTAACCAAATTACAATGTGATCATATTTAATATGAGTCTCTCATAGAAAGCCCTACCACCTAGGACTTATTTTAACCAACAATTGTGCTTATTAAATTGGCTGTTAAAAGTGGGTGTGTTTACTTCACCACACAGTAACTCTATGAGTTGTGTTACTGGTATTTTCAGTGCATTGTGTAAGACAGAGAAAAAAATTAAAGAGATACCATTAAAAATTATTTTATTAAGGCTTGTGTTGTTCAGTTGTTGCACATTTTCAAAAAATCCCACAATTTTTTCACAAGTAATTAAAATAGCTGCCTTGAATAACTTTTCTTCTTTAATTCAACTCTGAAGAGTTACCCAGCAGTAAAGGCTTTCATGGTTATAATGGAGAGCACTAAGTTGGTTTTTGTCCTACTCAACTTCACTGTTTCATGTGTAGACTGGGGCATGTTTGGAGTTGTAGACCTTTCTTCTTTCTCAAACTTAATATGATTGTACCCATAGTTCCTTACTGTGACGAGAACTCTAGAACCACATTTTTACATCCATATCGTATCATACAATCCATAGCAGGCTGAACTGCACTGTCAAAATTCAACCATTTGTAAATGTGCAGGGAATAAAGGAACATCGGGCCCTCTATATTTCCCTGCACTCCAGTGCCCAATTACTTAATGCTGAGTTAATAGAGTACCCTTATGTAAGCATAGTTTAAGCAAAAAAAAAAAAAAGGAACTGAATGTTTTAATTGCTACCAGAATGTCAAAATCCTAATATGGACCATGAAGATATTTAGAGAAAGACATCCTACATAGCATTTTTAACAGCCCAACTGAATACGTTGGGGGGTGGGGAAGCGGTTTACTTTTATCTGTGGTGTGACTTACGGCTAACACGACATTATAGTCGTCAAAGACAAACAGAGCATATGGAAGCATTTTTAATTGCGGCAAACAAGAGAACGACGCACATTCCTCGTCTCACACTTTTCCAGCACAGGCCCTGGCTCAGAGGCAGGAAATGTGCTAATATAATACGACCAAGAACTAGCAAAAGAAACTGGTAAGTAGGCAGGGTGGTAGTTCGTTCGATCCAAGGAAGGGAAACGGGGGAGGAGCCATAATCCCAGTGCGGCGGGAGCCTAGGCCTCACCCTACATTACTGGGCATAATAAAGCCCAGGCCGGCGGAGCGAGAAAACAGAAAGGAGCTGGGGAAGCTCCTACTCAACGCGAACGGCCCACGGAGACTCGCACTCACCGTTCGCCCGTTTCAGGGCGTTCTCGGGCCGCTGGAAATAGACCGGCATGATGGCGACGGCTTCTCCTCACGCGGCAACGAGCCCCAAGGAGCGCCCAGCCAGGCAGCAAGCGAGGCCGGAAAGGGAGGGCGTCACGTGACCCGCGCGCACGGACGTGTCCGGAAGTGACGGTGGTGACCTTTCTGGACTGATGGGCCCACGTTGGAGGGGGCCCGGTTGGAAATGCCTGCGTAATGCTGGGTGGTTCTTTTTGCGTCGGTGCGCCAGTGTTCGTGGCTGAGGGTCGAGGCCAGTTGTTTCTTTCTCCGAACTACGTCGATCCTGTGCTCAGGGCTTGCTCTTGAGTAGGTTTTGTTTAAGGAAGGATTTTGCACTGAGAGCTAGTTTAGTATTGAGTGTTGATCTTGGCCAGCTCTCCCCGATCTGGTGTTGGACTGTACATCACATACTTCATAGATAGCACATTTGAAGGGAACCAGGTTGGGGAGGGCTAAACTAAAATCAATGAAATCCTGACGGGAATTCTGCGCTTGGGCTTCTAATTACCTGCTGGTGGCTAATGCTCCGATCCTATAGCCACTTGTGAACTAGCTTCATTGAACTAAATCGTACTTATGTGTAGACTCATTGGATTGTGCTCTAAGAGATTTATTCACAGAGAAACGGAATAACCTACTCACTTTGGCTTCAGCTATGCTTACTTACTGGCAGATCTCTTTAAGGAGTGTAAGAGATTAACACCCCCTTTGCAAAAGCATGCATACCTCTATACAAAAAAAGTTCCCCATCCCTGTGACTTTGCCTATCTACCTCACAGGGTTGTGAGTCCATGCCTATGACCTTGGGCTCCTTAGAAGGAAAAAGTGAATTTAAAATGTAATAAATAAAAAATTTGTATCTTACTCTTGTCATTTCCTTTGCTTTGCTTAACACTTAGTGAAATGGAACAAAGTAATCCATAAACTCAAAGTGTCCTTGGAAAAGAAACATTTTGACCTATTTTCAAAAGGACAAGGACTGGATGGTGCATTCCAACTCACTGGGGCCTTAACAGATAGGACCCTGCTATTTAGTAAAAGTCAGACTGACCTCCGCTACTTAATGTTAACTACAATTGAATAATTATGACCCAAACATTTTAGGACTTTAAAATCAAAATTAGCACTTTGAATTAGGCTCAGAAATTAACTGAAATATATTTCGTCATAGCTGATCTATGAGTATGCCAACTTAAACCTGACAAGAGGCTGGAAGCAATATTTGTCTTGACAGGAATGGCCAAAGTATTTCAGTCTCAACACCATAATATGTGAGTCACAATTTCTCTGTCTTCTAGTAACCAGCATGGTAGCCAACTTATGGAATGCACTCCCCAGAGAGGTCCACCTGGCGCTGTTATTTGTTTTTCGGCGCCAGGCCAAGACCTTTTTATTCAAACAATATTTTAATAATTGTTAATATGAATTATTGGTTTTAATTTTTATAGCCAGGGTGAATCCAGATTTTATATTTTATATGTATTATTTATATGATTATTTATTATGTTGGAAGCCATCCCGAGGCTTATGTGACTGGGACAGCATATAAAAACTCCAAATAAATAAATAAAGTTCAGGAAAAGCATTCTAGGCCACATCAGTTATACAGAAATGTAGGTGCAATGCCAGATCCAATGTTGCCCCCAAATTATAATCTTGATCTTTACAGAAGAGTGAAAACACATCTAGGATTGAAATTTCCCCAGCTGACTCATCCACCAAGTCTTTATCATCAGCTACTGCTTTTCTAGGCAGTTCAAAGCTTGCACATAACTTTGTGAATACTGTGTGTTGGGTTGGCATAATAAAAGCATTACCTTGCTAAGGATTTTGGAATGTTCTTGTGGCTAACATGCTACCTTTGCTGTTTTGATTTCAGTCTAGTTGCCTTTATAATTCCATTATTGTTTCAGACATGCATATCATTCCATCTAAATTAGATGAATATAGAACTTTGTGTCATAGCAATGGCACGAAAAGCCATAGCCCAAATGGTCTCATCTAGAGTTTTTATATAGAAATTAAAAATCAGGGGTGACAAATTTGAACACAGGGTAATTCCCATGCAGGAACAATTCAAGCATTCCATTCTGGAATCTAGTCTCTAAGGAGAAAAGGAACTACCGCAACATAGCTGACTCCACACTATTTGGTCCTCTAAGTATGGTAATCTTTGCTCTGCCAATTCTAAAAGGAAGACCAGATATCAAGATGCACTGAGAGAGCTAGGAAATTCAACAGGGTCATATGCCTTATCCCTCAACCATATAGATTATTGACCAAGGTATTTACAACAGATAATTTACTTAATACAAAAATGATTAGAGTTGTTTTACTACCACATGCTCAATCATCTTGCGCAAGCAAGGTTAGCTATCTACATAAGAGAGGGTCAAAATGTTCAGCATCCTTACTAAATTGCAAAGCCAAGCATTCTTTGGGAAAAGCTGTGGAATTTACAGAATTATGTTAAGTTTGGAGTATAGATTATTATACTGAATGATTGTACATTCAGTTTGAAAATATAGCCATGTCATTGTCTCTTTCCTATCACACATTAACAGGGTGCAGAAAATATAAAAGATATGGTTCACTTTTTACCTGTTCTATTTGTTTTGTTTTTATTCAATGTTTAAATTGCCCCGAGAACTTAATTATAAAGAGGAATAGAAGTACTTAATGTAAGTAATAAATTGTGAAAATAGCTTCAAATCATTTTAGAATTACTATTTTTCATATTCATATTAATTTTATTTCTATATCACTTCATAGATGAAGATTTATTTATAGAAACACATAAAACACAATATAAATAGAGGCAGCAACATCATTTCAAAGCAACATAAAATTCCAATACAAAATTGAAAAGCTAAATTCAAAACAAATGTTAAAAGCTACAATAACTTATACAAATTAATCATAAAATTGTTTAAGCAGCTGATATAAAGCCAAATATAATATTAAACTAATTAAATGCCCTGTGGTAGAAGACAGTTTTCACCAAGTGAGGAAAAGATTAAAGTTGGTGCCAGGCAGGCCTCAGTGGGGAGCTTCCTCCATACCTGGGTAGCTTCCATGGAAAAGACCCTTCTCTGCAACCAACTTGCATTCTTCAAATGCAGTCAGAGGTAAACCCCAGATCTTGATTGTACATCTAGGTAGACTGTGGCTGGGAGATACCTTCCATCAGGTATTGCGGTCTCTAAATTGGCAGGACTTTATAGATTAAAAACAGCACCTTGAATTGAACCTCAAAGCATATAGGCAGCCAATGCAAGCAGGCCAGAATTGGGCTTATATGTTAAGAGGGCCTGGTCTTTATTATTAATCTGGCTACTGTATCTTGCACAAGCTGCAGCTTTTGAACAGTCTTCAGGATAGCCCCACATGGAGTGCATTACAGTAATCTATTTAAGGAATTATCAAAGCATAGATTACTGAAACCAGGCTATCCCTGTCCAGGTAAAGGTAAAGGTTTCCCCTTGACGTTACGTCCAGTCATGCCTGACTCTAGGGGGTGGTGCTCATCTCTGTTTCCTAGCCGAAGGAGCCAGTGTTTGTCTGCAGACAGTCTCCATGGTCATGTGGCCGGCATGACTAAACACCGAAGTGCACGGAACGCTGTTACCTGCCCACCGAAGTGGCACCTTTTTATCTACTTGCATTTGCATGCTTTCAAACTGCTAGGTTGGCAGGAGCTGGGACAGAGCAACGGGAACTCACCCCGTTGTGCAGATTCGAACCGGCGACCTTTCGATCAACCAGCACAGCAGTTTAAACCACTGCACCACCTGCAGTCCCTCCTGTCCAGATAGGGGGCATAATTGGGATACCAGCCAAAGCAGGGAGGAAGCACTTGGTGCCACTGAATCCACCTGGGCTCAAGTGACAAAGAGGGGAGTACAACCCCATCTAGGTTGAATTTCTTCTGCTCAGTCAGAAGTTCCCACTAAGAGCACCTCTGTCTTGTCAGGATTAATCATTAGTTTGTTTGCTATCATCCAACCAGGCACCGGTTTAGCACATCCATGGCCTCACCAGCAAGCATCATAGCTGCTCGGTGTACACTGGTCACTGGCCAAGCAAAGGGAATTTCTAGACCAAGCTTTCCCATGTTGGTGCTCTCAGCTAGAAATTATGGACTTCACAGTCCAGCACATATAGAGGGTACCAGGTAAGGGAAGGGTGTTCTAGACTGATTGTTTCTTTGGAATGTCTTGCTTCATTTTCCTGCCATGATTATCTAAAATTCCCTTTAGCATAAGAAACTGCTAAAAATAACAGTGTCCAAGACTTTTACTGCTGAATTTATTTGGCAGCAATATCACCTCTTCACCCCATTCCTCACCCCCAGATGTAGAAGCAAAGGCAAACATTTGTTGCTTTCTCAAACACAGGTCTTCTTTTACGGGGGGTGGGGGGAGAAAGACATTGTGAGGGTTTTATTGATGTTGTTCTTTAAATTTGTCTTGCAAAAGCTTTCTGTGATTGGGAGAAACTGCCCATATTACAGATGGGCAAGAATGAAGCTAAAATGTCATACCATAGTACCAGAGGCTGAGACAGTGTGACTATGAAAATCCCATAATATACTAGGTTTTTTAATATCCATGTTAGAGACTCTGCAGACTGGAGTAATTTTATCCACTGTTAACATCCTCCCAGTCGAAATGGGGATGGGAGGTAAACAGCGATTTATGACATGCCAACAGTGTACCTCAACAGTATTCCCATTTTGGAGACACTAGTAGATTGAGGATTACAGCCATCCATTTCATAGTAATTGTTCAATAACAGCTTTAAGAGACACAAATAACTTATTTTTATTCGTGAATACAATACCACACATTCAGGTTTCCAGTCCACTGCACCGCTACACAGTACGTGCATTTCATCACAATACAGACAGCAGAACAAGACAGTCTGCTCTTGTGAACGGTTTGCTAACGAGATCCATCTGCTGGAATCACTGAAATTTATCAGAGGGTCATGCTGAAACAGTGAAACAGAATATATGCTACTCGAAGCCCATCAGAACCAAAGTCCTGTCACCGAAAGTAATAGGCGGCCTTCAGCCCAACTCAAGTTAAACGTGGACTCTACGTGTATGCACCACTCTCATGCTATTTACTTCAACGGGTCACTTTCTGACAAAAAATTACCGCGAAGGGGGAACGCAAGGGGAAAATCTCCCCGCCCGCCCCCCCAGGTCCTGATCCGGAGCGAGCGTTCTGTATTTGCTTTAGAGTATTTAAAAAGGTCTTGCTGCTGGCTACGTTTTTAAACCCATGCGTGCTTTGAGTGTAAGTTAGTAAAATGGAGATCCCGTATGCAACCGGAAGCCAGGAGGCGTGTGTTGCTCAATTTTTCTCACTTGGTGAGGCCCATCATGAGGCCGAGCGAGGCCCTCAGGAAATAGGCGGGGTCCGGGAGAAGGAGAAAGATGGCAGAGACGGAGGCTCAACTGCTCCTGGGTGTGGGACTGATCGGTAAGCACAGCTCCGTCCCCTACTTCGGTCGGGAAGGAGCCGGTTCCTGGCTCTCTTCTCCTTTTCTCTTTCTCCGCCCCCCACTCACAGCTCAGGAAATCCCCATTAAAAATCCTCATTTTCCTTTGGGAAAGAGGCGGCAGCTCTTTTGCTGGCTGAGCACACGGGCGGGGGGGGTGTCTTCCTTTTTGCTTTCCGGCCTGGCCAAATAGATAGTCTTGATTATAGTCTAAACCTGCATAATCAAGAAGGCGGTCGAGTGGTGATCAAAGGTAGGTTGTGTAACCTTTCAATTCAGTGCCTGTTTTTGGATAAAGAGAAATTCGGGAGAGAGCTATTCCGAATTAATTGTTGAGTAACAGTATTGCGAGTTTGAGTTTGCATGAGAAACTTATGCAAACAGAAACTTACAACCTTTATCATAGTGATTGTATCTATGATCTGCCAGAACCGGCTTCCCATGAACACTGCTGCCGCTATCTGCTATCACGTCTGACTTAACCCCCCACCCCAAAAAATCTTAAGTATGTAGGTATCAAAATATGATTCTTTTTCCTACCTGCTCTTTAAGAGGATTCAATACCTTACTGTGCTGTGTATTCACACTCCTTGTTTAGTCAAGGACTGCATTTTATTAAAGTTACCATTACTGCTTAGTTATAAGCCTTACCTGGCTGCTAAACTTGTGAAAAAAAGGCTGCTAGTCAGGAATAGTTTCACTTGCATTCAGAGGTAGGCCATCTGGTGCCATCCTATAAGCTCTGGCCACCATGCCCAATGATCAGACATCATGGGAATTGTAGTCCAAAACATATTTGAGATACCAGTTTGACCACTTCTGTGCACAAGATGACCAGTCTCTGTCTTAAGCAGCTTACAATCCAAAATCTGACTCAAAGGAAGCAATAGAGGAAGAAGGAGGGAGGGATAAAGAAATATAATGTGTAATTGTTTTGGGAGTGTACCTAGGAGGCAACAGAGGGTGGCAAGTTACAGGCTTGTTGCAGCAGGGCATTTAATAATTTACAGTAATGTAAAAAATATGTTATTTTAGGCTCTCATAGGTAAAAATGCAACACAATTTTAAAATAGAAACACTGGTTTATGGTTTGATAATAGCTGTGAGCAGAAATCACTATCTTTAGGGTAACATGCAGATATTAAAGCAATTGTGATACAATGGATCTGAGTAACCAATCAATTTACTTCCTTGCTGCTGTTGGCATTCTCACAGTGAACATCTTTCCACCATAGAAAAAGATACCAACGGAGATGCTCTGTGGGTTTGGTGTTACCCATCAACAACAGCTGAATTAAGGGATCTCTTGTTGAGAAAATGCTGCCTTACAGCTAAAAGCAATCAGCTTCACACTTTCTTATTTGGTCAGTACAGACTGACTTGGTTTTATGTTACAACTATGGAAGTTCCTGATTCTTCAGCCTTGAAAAAGGTAGGGTTGGAATTCTAAGAGGTACTTGTAGAAGGATCTTACTGTGTATTGGCTTTAATCTTACAAATATGAGAGGAATGAGTTTATGAACACCTGCTAAATGTGGTCTGCTTTAGATGTTTGGTGTGTCAATTGTTTATTACATGTCTAGGGTTGGATTCAGACTTAGTCATTCTTAAAGTTGACCTATTGAAGTCTGTTGGACTGAATTTAGTCATTACTCAATTAAATCCCATTATTTGAATGAGTGTGCTTTAAGTGTGTCTAAGCCTGTATCCAAACTATATACTTAACACTTTTATGAGAAAATCATAGACTGTTGTTTTTGTCATCTAGTATGTTTATCATGCAAATAACCAAAGCAACACTAATTATCTGAGAAGAAAATCTAAGGATTATTCCACTAATGCATACATTTCCATTGAAAAGTTTATGTTGGAAACTTGACTCAAGTTCAGAGTGCATTTGGGTTGGGGGGTGGGGAAAATAGCAGGTCTCCAATAATATAACGTGACTTGAGAGGCACAAGTAAGCTATCCAAGGTTCCTAGCTGGTCATTTTTCAGTCATTTATGGCAACATTCTTGTGCTTATGTGTCAGCATATAGTGCTTGTTGCCAAAATGATTGGGCTGGAAGGCTAAAGCTGAAATCCCATGCACATTTTCCTGAGAGTAGACCCAAATGAACAGTTAATTTACTTTTGAGAACATGCAGAATGCACTGCAGGTCAGGGATTGGGAATATAGATCAGGGACTGGGTGTAACATCCATGTAATATCCATGATTTCTCAATGCTGGCTAATCTCACTAGGACTGATAGTTGCATTCCACCTAACTAGAGGACCACCCAGTCCTAATCCCTGCTGTAGATAATTGATTGCCAGACCAGATGGGTTTTTCAAGGTGGTATGTGACTGAATACATCATGGTAGTCCTTGAGAAAACTATGGATACAAAAACAAAACAGTCCACCACAGCCATAACACCTGAACAGGGCTTTTTTTTTTCAGATGCAGGTATTAACAAATTGATCTTTTGACGTAAAAGCAAGAGTGAATATAATAATGTAGCACTTAGGGAGTAGTTTGGAAGGCATAAAAACAAAAATGCCAATGACTAGGATGCAAGAAACTGAGGAACATAGAGAAAAGGACTGTTATGTAGGCCTGTCCATTTTTAAAAAAACTTCTGTTTATCTGCTTTCAGGTGTTGCTGCAGGATAGTATTTTGACCACATTCCAAATGATGTTTGTTTAGCTGCCTTCTACCACTCAATTCCCATTTTTCTCTTTGCTTTAATCTTGGATACATTTTATATGCCACCAGAATGTCCCTTGTTTGAATGTGGTATGGGTGTTTGTAGGACTTAAAATATGGCCTTAAAAACAAAGACTTCAGTGGTGGTTTGAAGCATGATTGTGGCCTTTTCATTTCTGATAAAGGCTTTTTGTGTTTTAGTTCTAAATATATTACTGAACTTGTTCATTTGTCACAAAGAAAAAAATATGTTTTTACATCTTTCAGGCAGTTCCCCCCCACCTCCATGCTTTCTTGTAGTTTTCATTCAGTTAATAGAAAAAAATTTCTTGATTTCGGTTGGATAAATAAATTGCTCTTAAAGTTAGACCCATTAAAATCAAATTACTTAAATGATCAGCTTGCTAGTCAAGACTAACTTAGGATGTATTCCTATGCGTGTTTAGAGAGGAAGCATTTCTCTCAGCATTCCCCAGCCACATCCCAACATTTTAGCTGGATAATGCTGAAATTTGTAGGGCTTTTTCTATCTATACACACAGTAGGATTGAACCCTTAAGTTCCATACAGTCAAATCGATTTCAGTAGGCTTGCTTTAAGTATGTGTGAATCTGAATGTAGCCTATAGAACTGAATTCCAAAATTTATGGCAATGAAACAAGTTTTTGCCACTTTTACAATATTATACTTAGATTTGATGCACTGATCACGCTGGTGTTGCTTTACTGTCTTCTATGGTGATACATGGTAATGCTGTCTATTATAGTGTAATACTGGGGTATAATACTGTTTTTTCTGTGTACTGGACAGGTGACCCATTTTTCCATTGTACTGACTACCAAAGACTTTAATCCAGAGAAATATGCAGCCTTCACTAGAATTCTCTGTAGGTAAGTATCACTGATATGTTTTATTATCCTATAGCTTCAAGGTTTAGTAGATTAATCAAAACTTTTTGACCAGGGTACTTCCAGTTAACTGTTGCAATTTGCTCAAGAGCTTTGGCCACTGGGGAGTCAAGAAATGAAACAGTAACAGTACTAAAAGAATAGTAGTTTCCTTGCCATAGTTGTTAACTGCTTGAAAAAATACAGAATACATACAAAAAGAAAATTCAGACGGCCAGTGCCGTCCCAAAAGAAGCGTTCCTTTTCCTTTCAGACCTAGAATGCCGTGCTTTCATGTGCCTTTGCAGATTCCAATTGAAATTAAAAAAAAATTCTTTAGGAGTACTGTTTTCTTCTGAGCACATTTTCAGAATTAATCTATAAAGATTGATCCAATTAGTCAAGTGTTATTTAATTGCAGTAATGTTAATATGTCCAGGAATACTTTTCAAAAGCTGTAGCTGGTGCACCAATTGTATGTTCCTTCAGAAGCATACTTAGATGTGGTCATTCTTGATGTACTTATGTTCAGGTTGCATTATTGTATCATTCTCTGCCTGGGACTGTCTTTAAACTGCATTTGGAAATTTCAGCTAGTTTGGAATGCAGCTGCCTGGCTGTCTGATATGAACTGCTCTTTGCTCTTAGCATCTCTGGCTACCAGTTTGGTTCCAGATTGCATTCAGAGTGCTGATCGTTACCTTTTAGGGACCTAAATCACCTTACCGAATGAGTCCAGGGTAACATGGGATGGGCAGCATTTATTTATTTATATGTGTATTTATAGGCCTTCTATAACTGCCGAGGCCTTCCTAGGTGGCTTTTATCTTTTACCAGAAGTCCCTCAGGTAGAGCCAAGTAGGAATTAATGGCATGTAGGGATGTAGTCAGTTGCCTACAGCATCCATGAGATGCTATACCTATATCCAAATCCGAATCTAATCAGAGATTTTGCTGTACATCTTTAAATCTGTCCAGTAGAACAGCATGAAGGTTTAATAACCTATTATTATTCCTATTTTACAGGTGAGGAACACTGAGATTGTTTGATACATGATTAGTGTAAGGGTCAGTTAATTACTTATCAAAGTGGCAGGGGTGTTGTTTTTAACTTTCAGTGTTAGTATTGTTAAACAATTGCAAGTCAGAAATCCCTACAAATCTGCTGAAAATCACCTGAAGATCACCAGTAGGTCCTTTTCTAGCTTCTGCCAGCCCTTTTTAAAGATAGTTCCTGAAATTTTCTTTTGGGTATTCAAAAACTTTCCTGTGCCTCTCTTACATTAAACTTTAATATGTTTAAATTGATTATCAATTTTTGGATGCATTTCTCATGGAAAGGTGAAGTTTAAACCTTTTAATAAATATTATCTTGAGTCATTCTTAAAACTTAGAAAGACAAGTAAGCTTGAATAGTAAAAACAAAATGTTTTAATGTTGTCACATATAAATAATGGGCCAAATCATATGTAATGATAAGCTAGAATTGCTGTGATTTCTGGCTTCTCTTTACCAGCATGTCTCTTTACCCTGCTTGACACTCTTATATGACTTCTCTTATCAGCAGGAATAACTGGAAACTAGGAAACCTCTTAAATAAACTGATTTATTTATCATTCTGTTTGATTCAGGATTCTTTACTATTACTCATGTCACCCTTAATCGGAAGCCATGGTTTATTCTTGGCTTCTGATTCCCAACTTGTTTGGGAATATCACACCAGTAATCCTAGTTTGGACATAACAGTAAAGAAACTGGACCCTGAGTTGCTTAGCTGCTCCTGATCGCAGAATGAATCTTGCAGAAGTGAGACTAGTTGAGCAGGAGGCCTGAGTGCATGGTTTGTCAATAAGGATCCAGAATTCTCAGTATTGTCTTAGGATGGTTGTTCTAGAACAGATATTTTTCAACCTGGTGCTACCCAGGTATTTTGGATTATAAGTTCCATCACCATCCACCCATGCTGGCAAGAAAATCTAGGAGTTCACTAACATCTAGAGGGTACCTTGTTCTAGATAGGCTTGTTTTTAATTCTCATTGGTTGTTGTGCACTGTTATAAAAAGTGAGACTTGTTTTGATTTTCAGAATATACCTGAAATATGGGAGTCCTGTGAAAATGATGGAGAGTTATATTTCTGTCCTTACCAAAGGGATATGTCAGAGTGAAGAAAATGGCTCCTTCCTGAGCAAAGATTTTGATGTCAGGAAAGCTTACCTTGCAGGCTCAATCAAAGGTAGAGAAATTGTCAAGTCTATTAATATAGTTCAGCCTCAGTTTTAAGTTTGTGTTCTTGGATGTGAGCATTATACATTTCAGTGAATTCATTTCCAGTCAACCTATTTTTAGGGGTTGTAGCACACAAGCCAATTCTACTTGAAATTACAGTTCTGATGAATTAAATGCAATATAATAAAATACCACAAGGATAAATATGTATTTTTAACCTCCAGAAGAAACTTAACTGTAACTAACAGCTGAATACATTCTCTGTACCTCCTATACAACAATTTTCTTCATAATTACTGATTGACTAAGTTACTGCAAACACTTATGGTACTGCTAGTTTCTTAGAAATCTGCTGTCATGTAGCACTAAAGCTCTCTCTTCTCTTCTTGTCTAACTTAGATATAATATCTCAATTTGGAATGGAGACAGTCATCCTGTATACGGCACTCATGCTAAAGAAAAGAATTGTAGTATATCATCCCAGAATAGAAACAATCCAGGAATTTACAAGGTACAGCACAAATTTAAAAGGAAATAAAAGTTCACCTGACGTGACAAACCCAACCTTTATGTAAAAGTCTCTGAACAAAGAATATGCATCTGTGCACAACAAAATCTGCAATGCCACAAATCCAAGGGTGATCCTTCACCAGGACCTTCACTGACCTTATGACTCAGTCTTATCTTAAATAGGTACACAACAGAATTACTGTAAGGACATATGATCAAGTCACTTTGGGTCTTGCCCAGCCCTTGCAGAAATACCTTTCGTAGTGAAATATTCCTTGGTAAAGATCAGACTATGCAACAGTGGAAAGTTTGAGATGGGACTCAACCTTTCTTTACCTTTAGTCTATTTTGGTGAGTTCAGTAAGTTTTAGCTACCCAATTATTGTTTCATTTTATTATAAAAGCAACTTAACATTACTTATTTGGTTCTCAAATAAGTGTATTCCACTGGAAACTGCATTTGGTTTGGTTTGGTTTTGTCTACCATATCTGTGACCATTGGCCATGCTGATTAGGGCTGATGAGAGCTGGAGTCCAACATTTGGTCCTGGTTTATAATGTTTGTTGTTACTCTGCTTGAATCCCTGTGCTTAGACCTTGCACTTAGCATATAACAATAAACTTTGTCCCCAAGCTGGAAGAAGTCCAAATGGCCTCTTCCTCTCTGCTCTTCTTTCTGCATAGCCAGGAGGATGGCTGTGTTTGTATTTGCTTTTACAGAATCTCTGCTAGTCTTTGCTCAGGAACCAGAGATTGTAACTTGCAGCAAACTCTGGATAGTTTAACAAGAAAGCTCATGGTTTGATATTGGCTCAGAATGTGTTATAAACTGTAATCTCTGATTTCTACCCAAGTTCTGATCCATTTTAAAATAAACCATCTTGAAATCATGGATTATAAAGTTCTCTCTTTAAGCTACACAGAGTTTGTTATAAATGTTGCAAGAGCCACCTCCCACTTGGCTTTGAGGCATGTGAGCCTGAGTTCCTAGGCCTTCCTCCAGCTTATGCACTTTTACTATTATATGCAAATATGACTGGTCAACCACTGTTCTTCTCCCTGCATGTGTGTTCTTTCTCATGCAGTTTCAATTACACATTGGGTTGCGAGGGCAAGCAAAACACACTTGTTCCTGTACCCCCTCTCCCATCCTGGTCACCTTCCACACGTTTAGCAGCTCAGTGTCTACACTGGGGTGGGGCGGGGGGGTTGCTGTCTTTGTACGGGGCGTTAAAGCAGGAAAGAAAACTGCACAAGTACAGAAGCTGACCTGCTGCCAGTTTCCAACCCTCCAACATAGGGAGGGCAATAGGGATTCCACAGAGGGAGCAAAGTTAGCTATCCTGTTCCTTTTCTCCCTCTTCCTACTGTTGGAATTGCATGAGGGGAAATGCATGATTAGGACTTTTGAAAGGAGCAATAGTGCTGGATTGAGGCCTAAGAAGTCCAGGTTCTAGTCCCCATTCAGCCATGAAGTTTATTGGGTGACTTTGGGCCAATCACTGATGCTCCGTTCTCCTACCTCTCACGTGTTGTTGTTCAAGGATAAAAATGGAGAGGAGGAGGATTGTGTAAGCTGCCTTGAATTTCTTGCAAGAGAAAGAAAAACAGTATAAATGCATTGTAATAATAAAAATAATCAATTGTGACTTTTTAAATTTAAGGACTCTACCAGCCTTAGTATGGCATCGGCAAGATTGGTCAATCCTTCATCCATATGTACATCTGAATGATGATGAACTGGAAGCATTAAAAATGTGCCCAGGTATTTATGTTCAACGGAACAGTTTGCTCTCAGTAAATCCAGAGATTCTGTTCTCCTTTTCTGTAATGGAACCAGATAGGACCAAATGACAGGAAGCCACTAACTTTATAACCTATTGAAGCATTATGGTGACAGCTGCATATGCATTATGGTTCCACGCCAAAATTTGTTTGCTTGCCCAAGCATTTTAAGATAGGTTACACCAACTGGTTTTAGATAAACTAATTTTTTGCTTTTTTCTGCTCTGATGCTTATTGCATCAGGATTTTGAAAATATCTTGCATACCGCTTTCGTATTGTAAGATAAAGGGCAGTATTGCCATAATATTCCTCTTTTAGAACTAGTTTGCAGATGTTCTGCTTTGCAAATATAGTTGATCTATAATTTTTTAGACCACTAAGCAATGTTAGCCAAAAAGAAGTTACTGTTGTAAACTGTCTAGAGAGCTTTGGCTGTTGGGCTTTATAGAAATGAAATGAATGAATAAATTAATGTTAGTTCTTTTGTCCCTTATTTTCTCATTGACAAAGAGCCATATGACTCAGCCATTTTTCTGTGATGCATTCATAAGTTGAAAGCCAGGAGTATTGAAACTATGCCTCCCTATTTTCTTAATGAGAAAAATTAATCATTTTTTGCTTTTCAAATAAATCTATACTGATTAACAGTTGGGAGGGGGACACTCTAAATACATTTTGAATACTGTATTTTTCTGTGTATAAGATGCTACTTTTTCTTAAAAACATTTACTTAAAAATGAAACTGCATCTTATACACAGTGGGCCGTGGAGGGGGGGGAGACTGGTGCATGTGGGGGGGCAGGGGTGCCATGGGGGGGCGACATGCGCGCAGCATCAGCTTGTTCACTGGAAATGGAACAAATGGAAAAGTGGAGAGCATCCTATACATGGGGCCGTCTTATAGACAGAAAAATACAGTATGTTCATGAATGCTACATATCGTATGGCTGGTGTTCTGCTAGAATTTTCCTGTAGAGCACATAGGTAGCAAAATGGTTAGGATGCATAGGATGCATACTTTAGAGAAATAGATTCCCAGGAAATCAGTAGAAATTAAACATTAGCGTGAATGTTTAATACTCTTAAAAACAATGAAAGGGCAACCTCCTTATTTATTTTTATTAATTTTATTAATGCTTTTAATAGAATGTCTTTGTTCAGAAGTTATAGAAAAATTTTTCCTGGCCAGGTTACATTGCTGGATTTATAGATTCTGAAGTGAGCAACAGGCTGGATCTGTATGATGTATATGTGAATCTGCCTGAAAGTGAGATCACCGTTTCCCAACAAGTAAAAGGTTTGTTGCCTCTATCATTTGTCTTTTCCTCTCTCCTCCCTTTCCCCATTTCTGCTTCTCCACACTTTCATAGCAAGTTGTGGACATGAAAGTCTGGTGCAGCTTTCTAAGTTTGTGGCAGGAGATGCAAGGAACTCCACAGTTCTAGTCATATACAAACTGGGTCCCATGATATGATCTAAGGTATCTCTGTTCCCTGCATTAATGTATGTGTGAAAGGTAGATGCTGTCGTAACCCACAGCTAACTTCCAGCTGAAATGAAAACTGTAAAAGTATACCAGGAATAGTCAAAGCAAGAGCCTTGGAAAGGTTACAAAGAGCAAAAGTTAACCTCCCCCCCCCCCACAAACAAAACAAAACAAAACAAAACCAGGTATAGGATAGGGGAAGACATTAGGGAAAAAAATACCCCTGAAGATTTCAGTCAGGATCATTGAATTGTATCAAAATGATTCCCTGGTTTCTTAGTATTTCTTGGCTGGGAAAAGAAATGTATGAGACTTCAAAAGCCAGAACAATCTGGGTGCTGAAAGATGGTGATGAAAATGGTCCAACTCTGGCACGTGGCGGGCGACAAAAATATAGCAGTGCTACTGGTGAGAGTGAGTTTGCATGGCCTTCATGGTATCACAGTCTGCTGGGAAACTTCTTGGCCATACCCTCTGGAGGCATCTGTTTGTGTACTTTTACAGAACTGGTGGTCAGGGATGAGTGACAACACTTTCTTTCTCTTCCCTCCCCTGCTCCCCCTGCAGAAGCAATGACAATGGGAAAACTACACAAAGAAATTGGGCAGCTTATTGTTCAGTCTGCAGAAGATACAGAAAAATCTAACAGTCAAGTTGTAAAGGTTATGCTTCTTGTCTTTAAGCTATTTCTGTCTTTTAACTCATTTTTGTTGATTAAAATATTATGACTACTTTCCAAGATTAGAAATGCCGATTGTGGGAGAGCAGCTGTGGTTCACTGGTAGAGCACCTGCCTTTTATATAGATAGTTCCAGGTTCAGTTCCCAGCATGTTCAGGTAGGGCTGGAAAAATACCTTTCTTAAGACCTGAGCCAGTTAGTGTCAACAATACTGGGCTAGATGGACCCACAGTGTGATTCTTTATGAGGCAGTTTATGCAAGAGTGTAAAAACCTCCATGTAGCACTGTAGTAGCTTCTAACCAAAGTTAGTTAATAAATCTGAAACCATGGTTTGATCCTGCTTCAACTGACTGAATAGAGCAAACCATGTGTTTTTGTTGTCTTTCCATATTAAGACAGGCTGCATTAGTGAACTACTGGGGCTGACATGACTGCTTTTTCACTGGTGGGTTTTGTGGGATAAATGCCTTTGTAGTTCTGTCACACCCACAGGATCAGAGGTGCAAGATAAGGAGGGGTACCCATCAAATCTTCAAGTGTCACTTCTTTGGTCTAAGAAGAAATGTTTTTGGCTGGCCCGACTTCATACTCATTCTTTCAACACTGTTCATGTTTGCAGGACATTTCACTGAAGACGAAAGAAATCTTGACTAATCTGGCTTCATTCACAGAAGTCTTGCACGATGGTGAGAAGCCATCCCTTAACTTTGAAGCACTAAAACAGAAGCGATTTCCACCAGCGACTGAAAATTTTCTCTACCATTTGGCAGCTGCTGAACAAATGCTCAAGATCTGATAGCTTGGATGACTTTCAGGAAGGAGTTATGAAAGGATACTCTTCTTTGCCGTAATACTTCCAGTATCCCACACCTTTGTAAAGCAGTTGGCACAGGAAAGAGGAGTTAAGGATGACACTGGTCTGAGATGGAACCTGCAGTGCAGAGTGGGATACCATTCTATTTTCCATTTGTTCTGATTTTCTGCCAAGTGGGACTGATTTTGAAAAAGGATGGATAACACCTATTTCCCCCCACAAAGGATGTGAATGCATGATTTGTTTAAGCTAGAAGTGAAATCTGTGCATTAAGGTGAAAAACTTAACAGCATCCTAGTATAAACTAGCAATGGGCACCTTGTAGACTTTGATTCCCATCAGCCCTAGCCACCCTAGGTAATGGTGAGGGGTGATGCAAGTCATAGGCCAAAACATCTGGAGCACCACAAGTTGCCTGCCCCAGAGTGAACAAATGGAGGACTTAAAAACGATAAAAGGAGTATGAATGCTGTTAAAATTAAGGCGAGTTGTTTGTCTTGTGTAAGCACTATAGTCAGAAATCACCCCTAAAGCTTAAGGACCATCTTAACCCCCTTGCACATTTGGCAAATCGTGGGGAGACTGCATTTCTGGCAACATCTCCAGCGATCTTGCCTTGCACATTAAGAGTGCTCTTTTCCTTATGATCAGGAAGCTCGATAGCCCAGGATTCCGATCCACAACAAAGACGCTCCTGTTCATGCACTGCTACGCCTAGTGCAAGGAATTTTTGCATCCATGTTGTCCATGTGAGCATTGGGACCAACAGACATGAAGTTACCATTTGCCGAATGAGTAGGAAGCAGTGTGTTTGCAGTCCTTGACTCTATTTTCAGTCCTCAGGAGAAACCTGAGGGCTAACTTGAAATTCACGCCCACCCAAAGGCTGTTAATATTAGAGGAAAAAACGACCAGGTTTTGTTTCTGTTTCCCCCTTCCTTCCTGCAGCTATTCCACTTGTGGGATATGAGACATGTATTTGACAGAATAAACCTTACAGGATATCCCACGTCTGAAAGATTACCAGATAAATACTGGCTAAGAAGGAATGGGGGTGCACCCAATAGCTATTGATCAGCTGAAAATTGCCTCCTGTGAAACTGCCTTTCCCTTGGAGTTGCCACCAACATTTGAATGCATATGTTTATGCTATATAGTTTATCTGTTTAACTCAAAAGTACAGGTCCAATAAGCAAATGGTTGTATTCAGACATTGCCAGAGCACTGCCATTAAAATGAATGGGACTATGATTCCAATGGGTTTGCTTTGAATATGAACCGAGTCTTGGTCCAACACAATGGGTTTTGCAAAATATCTGGGAACTGCTTAAGAGCCTCTGTGAATAGCACTTTGCTATATTAAAAAAGGGGGAGAAAATGATCCTTGCCTTCATAAACATATGCCTTAGCATGTGACAAATTATAGATGTTTGTTTTGTTTTTAAATAGTACTCAATTATTTAATAGTCATAACTGTACTAGCAATATTAATTTAAGGATCATTTGTCTTATGCTTATAAACAGAGCTATGTCGTAATGGTGGATGCAACAGGAAATGGAAAGCTATTGTTACAAAGCACCTAAATTAATCCTAGTAAGTTTGTGACCTAATTAGTTTTTAGAGGCGTGTCATTCTCTTTTGTACAGAAATCTACATTGTTGTAACCAGGTGTACATCTAAAAGCCAACTTATTACACTTTTCTTACTTATTTTTGGTATGATACATTCTTCCTCCTCTGAATTTAAGACTCTATCCATTAGGCTTGTAGAGTGGAAAAGGCATCATGCAGGTCTTCCTCTTGCAGTCAGCAGATATGTTTTAAGAGTGTGGGACCTTGCCCAGTCCAGGTAAAGCTTCCACTCAGAGTCGTGTTCAGAGGATGAAGAACTAGTGTCTGCTCTAGCCGAGGATGGCAGCTGGCTGGATGACTCAGCCTGGCCTTCCTCTGTCTGTTGAACAAAGGAGGGGAAAGGCACCAGAAATGGAGATGGCTAGTCTTTCTCAGCTGGGGGACTCAAACTTGCCAGAGGTACCTGCTGATCTATCAGACTTTTTCCCTGGCATCAGGGCAGTAACAGGAGGGCTTTGTGGGAGAAGGCGTGTCAGGAATGTCTCCTTGGGACCAAGCATCATCAAAAGAGGGCAGGACAGAAATGTTCACGCCGGCGTAGATGCAGGGTGAGTGGGTGGTTCCCCCTTCCTGGACCCATGTGATTCATATAAACTCCCCAGGACATACACCTCTGTTCACAAAACAAGATTGCCTACTGGAAAAGCTTCTAGATAGCTGTGGAATTCTGAGCATGGCAGCGGGACTCTCAGCGGACTCTGCAGTCAAGCAGATTGAGATTGGGATTGATGGAGCTGTAAGGGGGCCCCACGCCAGCCTGGACCTGGCAGTACTTAAGGTTTCACAGGGGATTACTCCAATAAAATGCTTCTGAGGTGACTCTTATTAACTGGAGGGTTGGAAAAGAGCACCAAGGAGCCAGAGGTGAGTAGGAATTCCAGTCAGGTGATTCAGCATGCTGCAGGAAAAGGGGCAATGCTGATCTTTCCATGACAGCAAGCTAGTAACTTCTGTGGGCTTATTTGTGGGAGTGACTTAACATTTAAGAGTTGGTGTGGCGGTTGGGGTGATGCACTGAGGAGCTGGGAAATCCAGGTTCTATGGCCTGCTCACCCATGAGGCTCATGGGATGACTGGGTGAGTCAAGAACCCTCAGCCTAACCTACCTCACAGAGTGGTGTTTGTCATAAGGATAAAACGGAGCTCTGTAAGCCACCTTGGGTTCCTCACAGGAGGGAAAAAAGATGGGATATAAATGCAATATAATAATGTATCTTCCAATAAAAGTTTGCCCAAAGTTAAATTTGATCCTGAGCATATTAAAATATTTATACACATCTTGATGTTTAAAGTTATTTATGTCTCATTTAAAGGGCTTGCATTTCTATGGGTTTGATTCAGATTTAGTGATACTTAGATGCATTGTAATTAGTGGGACTTAAATTTGTCATGACCAAGTTAAATTCAATGTTTTGGTGGTTGCACCCTGAGTGTGCTTAGATCCAAGATGGTGCATGCACCAGCGCAGTGGTGTGCATACATAGGAAAGGCAGCTCCATCTCCGGCCAAACACTTGAGTGTATGAAATAGCCTCAGGTACTCTCTCAAGTTCCTTGTATGCCTACTTCCATGTTTTGTCATGCCTCACCTATAAGGATGTTGCCACGGGAGGTGTTAATTGTTCTAGTTAGGTTTTTTTTTTTTTTTTAAATCTTGAGGATGGCGTGTCACAGAAGAGTATTCAGAAGTAAAGTTTCCAGATAAGTTATTTTCACAAATGTGCATATATAAATACTGGATACATGTGCAGTACTGCAAAAATAATTGATTGCTAGAAACTGGTTTAGCTTTTCCCAACTTTTTTGCTACCCAGGAGTATTAGATTTCAACAAACTTGCTGACTGGGGATGGTAGGCACTCTAGTCCAAAACATCAGGAATGTACCATATTGAGGAAGCTGCTTCTAGTCTACCCTCTTCTCCCCCATCTCTGTAACCACCTGTTTGGCATATGCACGTTTAGCATCTTCCTTTTATAGAAGGAATAATCCATTTTGTTTTCCCTTACTGAAAGCTGTTCTGAAGCAGCAAGTTGCAGACATGAAAATTATGAGACAAGACAACAACAGTTGCTATTAGTAAAAGGCCTGCAAACAAAGCAAATGTCCTCTCCTTTGTATAACCTACAGTACAATTTGCATAACCTTTCTGAAAGCTCAATTAAGATGCATGTCAACTAATGCAGTACCTCCATTTCCATCAGTAGTGATCACACTGTTCTCATTGGTGATGTACATTAAATTTATTCCACTGAACAGTCACTGAAAGCATTTGAGGCAGGAGGAAAATCTGTTACAATAGGTAGATCACAAAATTAAATCCTTTCTCTTTTGAAAGGCATGGGTAATATTAGGGTCTTTTTTCCAATAAAAGTTACCTGCAGTTTTCACATATGATTGCATCAAAATGCAAAGGAGACATAGGACTTGAGATTGGACTGAACAGTGGTGAATATATGAAAACAAGTTGAAGCAGCCATCATGTGAACCTCAGCCTGAGGACCCAAAATTAAGATGACAATTTAGGCTTAAAACCAAATGTTTGGACAAGTATATTTTGTTGCAACAGGAGCAACACTCCTGGCAAGTTGTGAAATTCCCCAATGATTACAGTCCCCTGTTGTAAAATAATTCAGTTTCTTCCGTGGAAGATGCTATTTCAGGTTCAAGGACACTTCGTTTTATCTGAAACAGAGAGACATTACTATTTCAAAAATGCACTTCTGCTAAGTTGAGAGAACTACTTCAACAAAGGGAATTGGGCTACCATGATCCAAGGACAAAGTATTGCCACTTATATCTCAACCCAAAATTTCTGAGGTATTAGCACCAAAGCCAAAAGGACTACTCAGTAAGCAAGAGCAAATTTTGCACCAATGCATGCCAAATCCTCTTAAGAGACACATGTTTAGGAAAGAGCTTTGAGCAGTATGTTACATTTTCGCACTGCTTATAAATGCAGGCTGGGTGGGCAGCCTTGGAGGTTTGGGGTTTGCTTGTGTGGTTTTTGCACCACCTCCCCCTTGTGCCAAAAAAAAAAAAAAAAAAAAAATGGCATTAGAAGTGGCTACAGAGCACCAAATGGTTCTAAAGTAGGTTTTTTGCTTAGGCTGCTCTGGGCACTGGTTTTTAAAAATTATGTTACCATTCTGAGAGGTGGCAGAGGAATCTACAAAAACAACATTTTTCTAACTCACAAAATATTTTTTCTGCCTTCCTTTTGCAAATGCCATGTATGGTTTCCACCTTTTGTACTAACAATACTTCATCTATATTCTAAAGCTGCATCTTTGGGTTTGCAACTTTTGGAAATCATGGCCAAGCAGACAAAGATCTCTTGTACTGGTAGTCCAGCTTGGGCACATTTTTATGTTGGAGTTTTGGTTTGGTTTTGTCTTTGTTTCTGGCATTGTTATTTGTCCTTCAAATGGTCAGCAAACATGGCAAGATAAAAAGAGTACAATTACCGTGCCTATCTGTGGCATCCAACTAAATGAAACAGGTATCACTGCGCCATAAATGAAAACCAGTGCACCGTATCTCAGTGGATTGAAAACAAGTGGATTCTGAAGCGCTAAGAATGCACTGCAAGAGATTGTAAGGAAGGATTACTGCACAGCATTGTACAGATGATGCTGACTGCTCAGATAAGTTTCAAAGAACAGACTAAGCCGCATGGAAAGGAATTTATGAGCTTCTGAAGGAATGACTGAAGGATCCCTCCCAGATATTCAGTTTAAACCATTAAATCCAGAAGCCACAGAACCGTGTCTTCTTAGCCATAACAGGAAGCATTTTGCAAGGTCAGGCATTTGCTACTGGGGCTTCAACTATTCCATGCTGGATACATCGCAGTCCCAGGAAGGACCCTTCAGGCAGGAGTCCCCAGATATTTGTTAATAATGAGAAAATCCCTATGATTATCCCAGATTATCTACAGAACAAGATGCAGTTTCTGAAGAGTGCTTCTGCCTCTCAAATGACATTTCCACCTCTAAAGTTAAGAAATATGAATAAGCTTACAGACACACTCTGCAGCTCTTGAAACAGTACAATTGCCACAGACCACTCCATCAGTAGCAAGACTGTGGGGATAAGTTTTTGGCTTGAAGAGTCATCACACAGACACGACTCTGGAAATGTCTTACCGTCTTAAGCACAGCAGAATGAGATCTGGGACAAGAATTGCTGTACCAAACAATGCTGCTCTGGATAATGCTGTTTCTTCTACAGCCTAGGGGCATGAAAAGAGCACAACCAGATACCACATAAAAAGTAAGCTACACCACACTTAGTCCACGGGCTGCAGTTCTGCAATAAGTTTCTGAATGATCCTAGATCTGGGATAAGCAAACAAAAGATGATGAAGTTAGGTATGTTTTCCAAAAGGCCAAAAGTGGTTCCCTACAGTCTGATGGAAAATACTATCATCAAACAAATTATCATGGCACAACTTACACAAACCAGCTTTCATTATTTTACTAGATGTATTCCTTGTCCTTGATGTGTAGCTGTTACTGAGACAGCCCTTGACTGAATTCGTCATCATGAGGCACACCAGTAGGAGTGGTCACATGGGAACTGTATGCCCCATTGTGCTGTGAGCTATGAAGCATATCTGATAGTCCACCCAACCCAAATATTTCATGGGAAGGATCTCCCTCCCCCACTCCCTCCTTCCCCATTTTCCCTCTTTGGTCCTCCTGCAGGTACCTTAGTGGACAGCACAGAAGTTCTCACCCCAACACACCTTTCCTGCTGCATCAGGAATCCCAAAAGCGGCAGGGAATGGAGGAGCAGGGACCTGTGCGGCCAACTCACCACTCTTGGCCCTGTGCTGCTGCCACGGCACTGAAAGGACTTGCAACAGCAGCACAGAGTTCTGAGTAGCTGGCAGTGATCTCCGCTGCACTGGCACACCAAAAGGACTCGCCACCATGGCCATTTGACAGCCATGCATTTTGAGCCAGCAGCAGAGAAGTGGAGGCCAGGAGATGTTGCTGCTCTTTCCAATCAGCTTGTTTATAGCTGGGTTGGCCCATGATGGATTGTGTTGCCTGGGTTTGGATGACAAGACACCCTATTGTGGGTCAAACAGTCCATCTATGCAAGAGTTTTCAGTGTGTCATATCAGCCAAAAATAGGGTACCTTGACAAACCTGTTCTGAGTTCATACTACATGTGATGACAACTCACCAGCGGGTTATCCTACAGACCCAGTCAATGTATAGAAATCTGTTTTTTTCTGTTATATGAATTACTTGTTATTATGCTCTGTGTGTGTGGTACAGATTAACACACCATGGGAAAAGTCACAGTACAGGAAGATACTGAGTGACTGATAGATGGCATTTCTATACTAAAATGAAGCTCTCTGGTTTTAAGTTTAAACAAAACTTAAAAACTATAAATGCCACACCATAAGAAAGCATGGTATAAAACATTTGAAAGGTCCAAGTTAAAATATTACAAATGAAAGAATAAAAGTAAAAAAAGAATAAATCTAGAGTAAAAACTGAAGTAAAATCTAGCAGCAGCACAAGGATCATAAAATACATAAATAATTTTTTGGTTTTTTTTAAACCAAAAGACTAACCTGGGAAAATATAAAGGTACCTGGCACCAAAAAGACCATTGTATCAGCACCAAGGCAGCTTTTAAGATACCAAGCAACTGCATGGAATCTTGAAGGCCAGCCTTTTAGCAGATCAGAAGCAAGTTCAAGCAAGTCTTCCATAATTCTACCAAGAAATCCCAGGTGTCCCACAACACAAGGGTCAATGCAAGATTTTGCCCTCTGTTGGGACTGCTCTGTTAAAAGCAAGCTGGACAGCCAGAACAAATGAATCAGGAAAAATGGCAAAAGGAATTGCTTGGGTGGAGCTAAAAGGGATTCCTGAAGAAGCATGGACAGGATGAGAAGAAGGAAGAATCAAGGAATGACCTTGCTTCTAGGGCCATAAAATAACAGTAGATAGGAGACTAGGGAAGAGCATGCGAAAGGCAGCCCATGGGCCCTTTCTTCCAAACTGACAAGCAACTGAAAGAGAAGCAAAAGATTGCTGGTTGGTTGAGGATTTTAATCAGTGATGACAGTTGTGGTTACAATGGGTGTGGCTGCTGGGGGAAGGAATCAAGCCAGTAGAAAGATATGATGCTGCGCTTACCTTAATTCCTGCTCTTTGAGACACTCCAATTACTTTGCCTTTGCTATCCATTACTTCAATCCCCTCCTCCAACTCCCTGGTTCTGATCACGGTCAGGTTAAATGCAGCCAAGGTGGCTGTTAAAAAAAGGAACCAACAATAAACAAATGAAGAAATAAGCTTAGCATGAAATAAACAAGCAGTGCTTGTCTAAAAGTAGTTTGATTGTGTTCATGTTCCCATTTAATGCAGGTTTCACTTGGCAGTCAACTATTCTGGCTGAAATCACAGTTCACAAGCAGCGTTGGACAAAAACGGTGGCTTGTAGCCAAATAGGAGTCCCCTTCACAGGTTGCTCACATGAATGGAATCCCTGCAATTAATTGGGCAGGAGGACCATACCAGTGTTCATGCACCAAGTGTGGCATCTCCGGGCAGAATGCCTACAGGCAGCCCTATTCTAACTCAAGCTAAGGAAAAATGATAGAAGCAACTCAATGACAGTTCCTGCTCTTAAACATGCAACAGACAAAAGAACAACTTTCCACCTCAAAGGTGCTTTCCACCGACTCACCTGTAAGTGGACCTGGGATGATATACTTGAAGAGAAGTTGCACAGAAGGTCTCTGTGGTTTAATGTGATTTATCACAAAATGAGGAAATGTCTAGAAGCAAGACGTTGCATTATACATGTATTAATGGCTACATATATGCCACCCATAAAACATATTTAATTTATATTCTGTGTGGAGCCAGCCCATGCAGGGACACTATGTATAGCCCCACTTTCCATCCACACCTGCAATTTCAGAATACACAAAGAGGGTTTTGCTTGGGCCTGGAGCTAGCCATATTTATACACTTTCGTTTACAATTCCACAGCCTGGTTAGTTAGATTGCCACTGAAAAGTCAAGACAAGGTGACTCTCTTCACCCACGGTTAGTCTGCCATGTACACCACTTACAGCAGGACTGCTTTTTCCACACGCTGAAAGAAGAAGGCTGGGAATGAACATCTCCCCTTCCGTATTAGCAAGTCAAAGCTAAAGCAGGAGCTCCTGGCACACTAGTCAGTACTGCTGCATATTTGCAGCCTACCTCACCCTAGTTGCTTTAGACCTTATGGAGAGCCATGCTGAATCAGACCAAAGGTCTACCTAAAGCAGACTCAGGGGTCAACCAGCTGCCCACGGAATCCCACAAGCAGGACACGAGTGCAACAGGACCCCCAGCCCATGTGCATAGGCACACTCCACTCCTCCGATATTCGGTGATTCTGCTCCTGTCCTCCGAGTCAAGGACAAATAGTGCATGGGAGGAATGCTGGTGGCTCAGGATGATGGGTCTCGTAGTCCAACACATCTGGAAGGCACCAGAGGTAGGGTGCATTAGGGACTGGGTTTTACTTTCTGGGTATGGAAGCCGTGCTCCTGCCCAATGTTCTCCCCAGGTAAAATACATGTTAATTAGAAAATAAGTAAGACAGAACTGCTAAGTACATACCCCACAAAAGGCAGAAAACAAGACTGTCCCACTGCTGAAAAGTAACTCCTTGTATGGATATTCCTAAAAACAAACATGTACACAAACAAAAATCAGGGCATATTAAGCACTGCAATACACAGAACACTTGTTGCCCACTGCCCTTTAAAAGTAAGGCATACTTTAACGTTTTCTGGACCATTCTTGTTTGTTCTTTTCTCAGAATTCCCATTTGCAAAGCCGAATCCAACAAGGTATGAATGGAAAATAAACTGCAAAATTAGAGATTGTACAAGCACACGAATTAGTTAATGCATTAATTACTGGATTAATGTGTGAAAACAAAATAAACTGATTGGTACCTGCCATATAGCTTGATTTTCTCTTCTGTGGGGCAATAAACTAAAAAGAAGCTGTAAATGAAACATTAGGAAGAAAGGGAGTCTGCAAAAATGGCAAAGACACATATCAGCACTAGCAGTGTAGACAGTGGATAACCTGTAGGCGTTATTGTATCACCTAAACAGAATTGTATGCCTTTACCCAAGAGGGCCGATGTCATCCCAAACGAGGGATACAGTAAGGGCCATGCCCGCTTACCCCGGCCATACCCTCTTTCCCCCAAATACTCATAATTTGGTGCTTTCATAGCATCTTCACATTTTCTTCATACATTCTGAAAAGTTGCAATATCTCTCATAAAGCATAGCATAGTGCAGGAAGCAACTTAAGCTGAAATATACTGATATTCCTGCCCTGCTGCTTTTGCCTTTAATTCTGCCCATCACTGGAATATGGACCTCAACAGCTTCTCTGAAATGTCCCTTTGGCTAACAAAAGTTCTGCAACCCTGATCTAAATGGGTGGAAATGCACTTATCCAGAAACTTTGCAAACAAGGCAACCCAGCCTCTGGGCTCAATTCCAATGTTGCCAGTGATGTTCTTGCAGCCCCTGCTTGCATACCACTTTCAGTAACATCTCCAGGATGTGACTTACAGGGATGGGCTAACTTATCCTTTTTACATACATGAAGAGCTCTCACTTTTATCCCTGGAGATATTTTAAAACTCCTTCTTAAAACATCAGAGTATAAGCCATGCTGCATCAGCCCAAAGGATCATGCAGTCCAGAATTCTGTATGCACAGTGGCAAAACAGCTGTGCTTGTATTGAGGATTTGTATAATGGCAGTAAGATCTTTGATGGCAAAAGAAGAAGGGGACGGAAGAGGATGAGATGGCTGGAGTCACTGGGGCAATGGGTGTGAGCTTGGATGGACTCCAGGGGATGGTGGAGGACAGGAAGGCCTGGAGGAATGTTGTCCATGGGGTCAAGATGGGTCAGACGTGACTTCCCGACTAGCAACAACCAAGTAAGATCTTGGCAGTTCTATTTTCTATTCCATTCCTAATTGTGCCTTGCATGGAGTTTGCTCTTTTCACAGTGGTCACACACTGGGCCGACATTTTCATCTAGCTGTCCAGCACTGCCCCAAGATCTTTTTTTGCTTGGTCACTGCTAGCTTCGATCCCATCAGCATATACTTAAAGTTGGGATTTTTTTGCCTCAATATGCATTGCTGTACACTTGCTTATGTTGAAATACATTTTCTATTTTGATGCCCATTCCCCCAGCCTGGATAGATCCCTTTGCAGCTTCTCACAATCGCTTTTGGTTTTAACCATAGTATATAGTTTAGTGTCATCAGCAAACTTGGCCACCTCACTACTTACTCCTAATTCCAGATCATTTATGAATAAGTTGAAAAGCACTGGTCTTAATACAGAGCCTTGTGGGACGCAACTGGTTACATCCCTCCATCAGGAGAAGTTGCCATTTATTCCCACTCTCTGTCTTCTGTTCTTTAACCAATTAGTGATCCATAAGAGGTCTTTCTTATATTCTGCAACTGCTTAGTTTGCTCAAGAGCCTTTAGTGGGGGAATTTGTCAAATGCCTGTTGGAAGTCCAGTGAACTTATGTCTACTGGATCACCCCTGTCCACAGGGGTGATTATGCTTGTTGATTATGCTCAAAGAACACTAATAGATTAGTGAGACAAGACGTCCCCTTGCAGAACCCATGCCGGCTTTTCCTCATTAGGGCTTGTCCTTCTGTGTGCTTACTGATTCTTAATCAAAGCTTTCAAGCAGTTTGCCCAGAACAGTTGTTAAGTTAACTGACCTGTAATTTCCCGAATCACCCTGGATCCCTTTTTAAATTTGGTGTTATACTGGCCATTCTCCAATCTTCTGGTACAAGTATAAATGACTCATTCCATTCCCCTTCCCATCCACTAGGTGATGGGACTTGGCTAATTTTATTTGAAGACAAGAAGATCTGATATTAGAAGGAAGGATTAGAAGGAAGGATAAAATTTACAGTTCCATGTACTGATTTGTTCTGGAGGAATCTTTCAGCAGCACACCTATTCTCTGCTTATGCATTGTAATCATGTACTAAATATTTTAACATCTCTTAAACTGGGCTCCTAGGGAATGATAGGTCAAATGGTTCCTAACTATGGGCTAGGGAGTTAGCTAGATTTCTCTTTCAGTCCACTCTGATTTTTTAATATGGCATCCACTTTAACAGTGAAGTTCTGAAATAGAGGACGGGGCACCTGGCAACGTCAGTATCCACAGACATTCTGGAAACTTCATCATTACTCACCAATGTAGTGGAACAGAGCGGAAAAGCTTCAAAAGGAAGTGAGAGAACCTTTTTTATTTATTTAGTCAGATCAGCCCTTTTGGAGGCTCTCTTGATAACTAATAGGAAAAGGAAACATACAATATATACCAGGATTTCAAATGCACAACTCAGCTCTAAGGCCAACGGGATCCCTGTAACCATTCAAACCAAGAAAGCTAATTCGGAACTATAGTTCTGAGGACAACTCTTTTTCCAAAGGAGACTTGTGGGAATGTGGTTTGCATTAAAAGGAGGCAAAAAGTTATCCCAGATAACAGAAGAAAGAGACGCCATGAAAGGTACATTTGTGGTGAACTAGGTCTGAGTTGACTCTTTCCATAATCACAACCAAAATGTGAACCACCAAGAGTTGCCTGCCTCAGACTGCCACCTCCAAGGAGGCTCCATTGGTGGCAACAAGAAGGGCCCCACCCAGTTATGGAACAAGCTGCTCATTAAGGCCCACCTGGCACCAACCTTAGTATCTTTTCCATGCCAGGCAAAAGTTGTCCTTTACCACAGGATATTTAAACAGTTAACTATCACATTGGGCTTATGTGAGCTGCTGAAACAGGTCTTATGATTTACTTTGTACAAGCTCTTGTAGCTTTTCACATATGACTAAATTTGGTATTAAAATGTTGTATGGTAGCTTTGTATGATTTGTTTTGGTTGTTGTCTATAGTTTCTATCTTTCTGTAAATTGCCCAGGCAGATATGGCTATTGGCTAGTACAGAGATGCTGTTGCTGGTTGGAATCTGCAAGTGCAATCAGACATTCTTCTTGTTTCTTCCCTGCTGTGCTTGTCTGTGCTGCCTGAAAATCCACTCCAGAAGGCATCCCAGCCTTCCAGAGTAGCTTTTGAAGGCACACAGGGGGTTGCAAGGGGGAAGGGAAATCTTCTCCCCTTCCACTATCATTAACAGAATGACTTATGCAACAACAGCACTATACACAACCCAATGCAACAAGATTGTGATGCTTTTTCTGAAACCAGCTCTTCAAATACTGTAAGCAAATGGCAACAAGGGAATATTACTAACCGCAAAAGTTCAAAAAATTCTAGTCAGACCTTAAAAAATATGGTATCTTACAATCCTACTCTACCCCAAACTATGGTATTTTTAAAAATTATATTCGTGCATCCCTGGGATACATTCCTTTCACATTCTGAAAAAAATCATTGCAGGCATGAGAACTATAAACATTTAATTTTACAAATTACAACTGAGAACTTCATATTCTAACATGCATTCATGGATTGCACAAAAATGCTGACACATCAACCAGCGCGCTTTCCATGGGTATTATTCACTAGTTTGACAGTATTCATACCATTCAGGACAACAAGTTGTAAATTTTAAAAGTCTGTTCCAATTTTCAGTAAACTATACAAGGAAACTGACCTGTTGGCCTAAATAATGCAGGAATTATATCACCTGTACCAGGATGCACAGAACCCTTCAGGGAGAAAAGAAAACTTTATTACAAGATGGAAGGATCTAAATTAGTCTAATGGCTAAGTATTTTACAAAAACTCACCAGACTTAGGTTCCAGGCTTCTTTCATCTAAACAATAAGAAAGATTTTAGAAAATATACATGTTATAGCTGAACATGTTTTTCTGGATTTGAGTGTTCAAGAACTAATTCTACAGTAAAAACAAGCACCCATACTAAGTGTCATATCATGACCGACATTTTAGACCAGCTGTTCCCAACCTGATGCTCTTCAGATGTTTTTGGTCTACAACTCTCATAATCCCCAACCAGCACTACCATTGCAATTCACCTGGAGGACATCAGGTTGAGAAAGCCTGCCCTAGCACAATGTCCAGGGGAGCTAAAACTAATTAAGGTATGACAAATTACTTGGAACTCAAGTAAACTGGCATATTTCATTTGGTTTCTGCTAGTGAAAATGACAGGCAAAGAGCTGTTCAGGGCACTGGAAATGTATCCTATCTAATAACCTAGAACTGTGCCCCAAAACTTCTCCAGCTCCTGACATTTTATCAAACACTAACCACATCTGTGCAAAACAATAAGCCAGGACAGCTAGCAAATCCTAGCTTACTATGTACAAGCTGCACACTGGTGCACATTCTCCTGCTAGCAGCAGGTGGATTCTAGTTTGTGTGATTTCTGAACCTAGGCTCCTGGTTTGTTTCTTCCAAACAAGCCAGGATCACAAGTCAAAGTCTGCCATGGCTTATGAATTCTGTCTCCTTTGGAGCCAATAAAGCAGAATTCTAGGGTAGGAAATCAAGCAAAGTAAGCCATTTTTGGTTTGCTCACCTGCTTGTACAAGCAAGTAAAGCCAATGACCTGTGGGCACAAGCATGAACATTGTTCCACTAGTAGTTGCAGACAACCCTGGCTTACTCTTACATATGATTATGGCTATTCCTTTGCTGCCTTAAGGAACAGATATTAGTTTAAAATTGAAGCTAGAATATTTTCAGAGTACTTAATTGTAAAGTTAGTCCATGTACCATTTCTACATGTATTCATACTATGCAATATTGAAAGCCACATTTTTCTGGCAACACTCATTGTTCACCCAGATGTCATACACTGTGATCTCCTTTTCAAAATGTATCTCTTCCATATATATTAGGAGGCAGGTATGAATAACACAAGCCTTTGTTCCATTATTGTTTTGGAGAGGGGCTGGGCCTTATAGCCTCTGCTTAATATTTGCTCTGAAAGGTCAGGATGTATAAAACACAATGCTTAAAAATAAATATTTAGCTTTGTTTTTTAAAAATATCCTTGGTGTCCATGAACTTCAGTCAAGAGAACTGATCACTTGCTGATTATAAACCACTTCTGATGTAAGGACCATCTTCTGAAGTCAGTAATTCTTCCAAGAATAATGAAAAGCATCAGAAGAGGCAACCACTATTCACTTTTTAGAGACTCAAACAAAGCAAGGCTATTTTCCTTAGAGATGCAGACATTGCATTTCAGTTTCCTGCATCTTCACAAGAATGAATGCCACAAAGTGCATTTATTATTCAAAGGCAAGATTTCATGAATTATTTTTGAGATTAAAAACCATTATAGACCATTATATCGGGGAAGGACCGGTAGTCCCAACACATGGATGCACATGAAAAGGGCAAACTCTCTGGCTCACTTGGGCAGACCTGGGTTTTAAATGACAAGATAGTTACAGACTCTTGTAACTTTCAATTTCAACCAAGCTATCAGAGTGTTGCAAAGAGGAGTTTTAGAACTTAGTACATTAATCTTTCCCAGACTTGAGATCTACTGATGTGATAGACTCTAGCCCCTATATTGGTGGCTGGGGAAGGCTGGGAGTTGGAATCTGACATGTCTGGAAAATGCCTGGCTGGGAAAGGCGGTACTAAGTATAAAAACGAGAATCAACAATATGATGTGCAAACACATGAATTACTAGAAGCAGAAGGTCAGATACCTTTTTGTCCTGTAAGGATTCTGTAATGTTTTCTGTTCTGGCCAACAGTGCTCTGGCATTTTCAATTTTTGCCTATAAGTGGAAGAAAAAGTACCAAGAGAAACCATGGTAAGTTATCTTTTTTTCTACAGACAACCAGTCTTCTTTTCTCTAATACTTCCATTGTAGACAGCCTTCTATTGCATTCTTTGTGGATACAAAATTTTCATCATTCCTCCAATCTAGTGCCTGTATTCTTTTCCAGCGAGAGGCAGGGAAGAGGTTCAAAGCTGCCTCTTCTGAACAGAAAAGCAGCACATAGCACTGTCTCCACAATGGCCTTTCAGTGTGTGCCAGAGGGAAGGTCACAGATCTGCCACATCACATATAAAGGTAAAGGTTTCCCCTTGACATTAAGTCCAGTCATGCCTGACTCTAGGGGGCGGTGCTCATCCCCATTTCCTAGCCGAGGGAGCCAGCGTTTGCCCACAGACAGTCTCCGTGGTCATGTGGCCAGCATGACTAAGCACAGAAGTGCATGGAACACTGTTACCTGCCCACCGAAATGGTACCTTTTTATCTACTTGCATTTGCATGCTTACGACTGCAAGGTTGGCAGGAGCTGGGACGGAACACCGGGCACTCACCCCGTTGTGCAGATTCGAACCGGCGACCTACCAACCCAGCAGCACAGCGGTTTAAACCACTGCGCCACCTGCAGTCCCTCACATCACATATGCTTCAGCACTAAGTCGATTAAGAGGACGAGAGATGACACATGCTGACAACCTGCTACAGCCTTTCCCTACCATGCTTGAGGAACATTAATTCAGTGGCAACTCTTCTCTCACACTGGTGGATGAGCCTTGCAGGACAGCATGCACCATGCTACTCGTACCGCTGGAAACTGCAGTCCCTTGCTTTCTTCACTCCCTTTTAGACATACTTTTCTTCCACCAAATAGTGTTGATCCTCCACGGGATTTTAGGGTTAAAAACCATGCATACATGTACCCTTCTCCACCCCAGATCATTCAACTTCAGACCATGGAATCTGTGTCTGCTTTAAAATAAGGGGTTTGTATTTTATTTGTCAATGACCAAGCAATGAAGAGATAAAATAATAACATCTTGGGCATATCTACAAACCAGTATGCCGTGTGTATTACTCATATTAACCACATATCCAACTCAAGGTATAGAATTATAGACATAAGCTACTTACATAGGATGCAAATAAATATCCTGGATCCAAAATACTGAGCCAATGTAAAAATCTTTGGGAGAAAGTCTAAAGAAAGAGATTTACTTTTAAAATATGTCTTAACCTTTTACAATTCTGTGTGACCATAATTCTTTAAGTTAACCAAAATTAGCCATTATTTGGCATTCAAGCACTAGTTCTACCTATACTGCAAACCATTTTCTATTTCCACAGCCTAAATTGCCTTCCAGCATACTGAGCCTATTCCTTTTGCTAAAGTATCACATGCAATACAGGTATGGCATGGGTACTAATGAGCATAATCCTAGCACTTCCCAACCATGGTACTTCATTTTTCCCATGCCCTGCTATGGAAGCCAAATCAAATAAATGATCCCATCCTATGTGGGATAATCTATTAAATGTGAATCAGTTAAAATAATCTGTGAAGCCACTTGGATGGTTTGATCTGGACCCTGCTTCCTTTCAGTAAAATGAGTGAGGGCTGCAATCCTTTGTACACGTACCTGGCAGTAAAGTCCATGGGATGCAGCAGGCTTTACTTGCAAGCAAAGCTTTGCTGCACAAAGCAAAATTCTCTGCCATTATTACCACTTTGTAAGCAAGCTCACATAGTTATTAGCTAGCAAATATGTTTATTAACTTTTGAAATCAACAAGAGTTAATTTTGAATGGAGATGTACAGAACTGTGCTTTTAGAAGCAAGTTTATATAGTATTTCTATTTGGGCTAAGGGATAATAGTTGGACAATGGGCATGGTATTTCAGTACAAGTTCCTGCAACTTGTCTCCTTCCTTCCTTCCTTCATTAATTTCCCTTTCAGTCTGACACAGAAACATAGGCTTTAATGCTCTACATACTGACTCCAGAGTAAGTTCCACGGAACTTAACAAGGTAGGATTGTATTCTTGGAGGCCTGATGGTGCACATCACCCTTTCATAACCTTGTGCCCTCCAGATGCAACACATGAAGGGCACCAGGTTGCAAACGGCGCGCGCAACACAGTATCGTAAGAATAGCGCCAGCGATCGCTGCCCTTTGCAAACCATTCAACACTACCCGCCCTCGGGCCGGCTTCGAACTCCTTCCATTTGAGCAGCGGGGAGCCGAGCTTCCCCGCCGCAGTCCTCCTCCCATCCTTTAAACAGCTATCGATCTCGCCCTCCCTGCAACGCTTCGCAGTCCTACTTGGCCTTCGGTTCGCCAGAACTCTGCATTCAAATCCATGAGGCTCCGCGCGCGGCGCCGGAAAGCGTTTGCGCCGGAAGGCAACGGAAGCTACTTCTCCTTGCTTAGGCTCAACCCCTTCTCTTGCGTCGTCATTTCCATAGCTTCCCTCTTGCTGGGCACCCTTTGCTTCCTGGAAGTGGGTAATACGTTAGCAGAGGCCGCGTGAAGATCATCCAGTCTTCCCCGGTCCCAGGCAAACAAGGGGGGCAGACGGCACCTGGCGCCTCCCGGACGTGCTGGAGTATAACCCCCATCATGCTCAGCCAGCAGGCCCAGGGCCGGCCGTTATGGGAGCTGTAGTACTACGCCAAGTTGGAGACGGCTGCACCTTGGAGAGGACTTAATGTCTCGTCTCTTTATTGCTGGATTCGGGTGCATCGTTACAGCTGCCAACTGGGTTGCTGCGGTTCCGCTCAGCTGCGAAACCAAGCAAGGTTCCAGAGTAAGCCCTCACGCGCTTCCTTTCCAGCATCTGTGCTTTTAACGACTGGATGACAGCCAGAATTTCAAACGTTTTCTGCTATGAAGATGCAGGGCTGAGGTATCTTTTTAACTTCTGCCCTTTATACCAAAATTAATGGCCAACTTTACCCTTTGATGTTTCAAAACAGCTCATGGCCAGGTCGCAGAATTATTCAAACAAATCATGTCTTCTTAATCCTGAGTTAATGCAAAATAAACACCTCCAGTCCAAGATCGAATTAGTTTTCGTTTTGTGTGTATAAAATATACATTGAAAAGAACACTTCTAGTCACTAGGTTTGCCAGATCTAGTTACTGAAAGAGTACTTGTTCCTTTAAAGTGTGAAAACATACTGAATGCCCCTACATACAGCTTCTCTCAGCTTCTGCAACCAATAAATGCCAGTTTGTTTTATGTTTACTACTTTTTCTGCCAGAATAAAAATATTCTACACTTTCACAGAGTATCTTGTATGCATGAAGTTGTAATAATGCCCAATTTATTTCAATGCCAGTTTGTAAGCAACAAAATGTGGAAGTTAATGGGGTAATTATTTCCATAAAATATTGTAAAGGTTTTATACCATATGGATTTGTTGTACTAGTTACTTTTTCAGATTGGTCAATTTACCTATTTTTAATCCAGGAACATAAGGATCTGCCCCAGAAGGAATTCAAAAGCAGAAATTTGGTACATAATTGCTGCCTGAACTGCTGAACAACACACTCAAAGTCCCAAACAATCCCACTTGAACATCCATTACCTTGGAAAAATGACGTCCATTTTATGAATATGGAAAAGGATGAGTTCAGTACTCCCTCAGACTATGGTTCTGGTGCCTACAAACATATTTCCGGTGTAAATCAAAAGGGGAAAATCGTGTTTTTAATTCATAGTTCATAAAACAAAATGGTTTTGTGTAATCTTTGTCAAGGTATGATGTTGTAATAGCTACGAACAACCAAACCACAAGTTTTGTTGAGCCTTGAGATGGATGGGTCCTGCTGTGCACATCATTGATGTTAATCTGCAGAATGTTTGAATAGCTGTACTGAACAATCTGTGAAACATGTAAGCCATTAGTATGCCAAGGGGAGCCTTCCCCCAAACCAGCACTCTGGATGCATTGGGCTAATAAACCAGGGTAGGGAATTGTACCCAACTGGGCTAGTCTGGCCTAGAAAATAAACTTACGGGACTGACAAATGTGCAAACACAGGTCAAGTGTTACAAGGAATATATGCTGCATTTGCGAACACTTTATTCAAGGTCTCATTGTGAAATAATGCTTCCAAACTTTCAACATGCTTTATATTTGAGCAGTGCAGTGTTTAATTTGAAGACACACTGTAGCAACACTGAGAAAAAGGAACACTTTAATTAAGGACCAGGTGTCAGTAAATTCACCACCATGCAAATTCTTAATTCAATCAAGAAAATGTGGCAATTAATATGGATATGTCGTGCTAGTTTGACTACTGCACTGGGTTTGTGTTTTTCCACACAGAATCATAGAATGAGAGCTGGGAGGGGACAATAAGACCATCAGATCCAACCCCTGTGCCTCTTTCTGTGTATAAGAAATTCAGAGATGACTGCATAAACGGACATGGGTAAATGCATGTGCGGGTACTACATGCATTCTTTTTCTTCCAGAGCTTCAGTGTCCAAGCACTGACAAGTCTTTTGCCCAGTTCAGACTATTGTTGTTAGTCGCGAAGTCGTGTCCAACCCATCACGACCCCATTGACATTCCTCCAGGCCTTCCTGTCCTCCACCATCCCCCGGAGTTCACTCAAGCTCACACCAACTGATGGTGACTCCATCTAGCCACCTCATCCTCTGCCGTCCCCTTCTTCTTTTGCCATCTATTGTTCCCAGCATTAGACTCTTCTCCAGGGAGTCCTTCCTTCTCATTAGGTGGCCAAAGTATTTGAGATACATCTTCAGGATCTGGCCTTCTAAAGAGCAGTCAGGGTTGATCTCCTCTAGGACTGACTGGTTTGATCGCCTTGCTGTACAAGGGACTCACAGGAGTCTCCGCCAGCACAATTCAAAGGCCTCAATTCTTTGGCGCTCAGCCTTCCTTATGGTCCAACTTTCACAGCCATACATTGCAACTGGGAAAACCATAGCCTTGACTATATGCACTTTTGTTGGCAGGGTGATGTCTCTGCTTTTTAGTGTGCTGTCTAGATTTGCCATAGCTTTCCTCCCAAGGAGCAAGCGTCTTTTAATTTCTTGGCTGCAGTCCCCATCTGCAGTGATCTTGGAACCCAGGAAAATAAAATCTGTCACTACCTCCATTTCTTCCCCATCTATTTGCCAGGAAGTGAGAGGATCACTTGAGATGCCATGATCTTAGTTTTCTTAATGTTGAGTTTCAAGCCAACTTTTGTGCTCTCCTCCTTTACCCGCATCAAGAGGCTCTTTAGTTCCTCTTCACTTTCTGCCATTAGAGTGGTATCATCTGCATATCTCAGGTTGCTGATATTTCTCCTGGCAATCTTAATTCCAACTGGTGATTCATCTAGGCCCGCCTTTCTCATGATGTGTTCTGCATATAAGTTAAATAGGCAGGGTGGCAGTATACAGCGTTGCCAAACTCCTTTCCTAATTTTGAACCAATCGGTGGTTCCATGCCCAGTTCTCACTGTTGCTTCTTGACCCGCATATAGGTTTTTCAAGAGACAAATAAGATGGTCAGGTACTCCCATCTCTTTAAGAACTTGCCACACTTGGTTGTGATCCACACAATCAAAGGCTTTAGCATAGTCAATGAAGCAGATGTTTTTCTGGAACTCCCTAGCTTCCTCCATGATCCACCGTATATTGGCAATTTGATCTCTAGTTCCTCTCCCTCTTCGCAATCCTGCCTGTACTTCTGGTAGTTCGCGGTCCACATATTGCTGGAGCCTAGCTTGTAGGATTCTAAGCATAACTTTGCTAGCATGTGAAATGAGTGCAATGGTGCGGTAGTTTGAACATTCTTTGGCATTGCCCTTCTTTGGGATCGGAATGTAAACTGACCTTTTCCAATCCTGTGGCCACTGTTGAGTTTTCCAAATTTGCTGGCATATTGAGTGTAGCACTTTTACTGCATCGTCTTTTAAGATTTTGAACAGCTCAGCTGGATACTGTCACCTCCACTAGCTTTGTTGTTGCTCAGACCTCCTAAGGCCCATTTGACTTCACATTCCAGGATGTCTGGTTCAAGGTCAGTGACCACCCCATTGTGGTTATCAGGGATATTAAGCTCTTTCTTGTATAGTTCCTCTGTGTAATCTTGCCATCTCTTCTTAATTGCTTCTGCCTGTTTGGTCCCTGCCATTTTGGTCCTTTATCATGCCCATCTTTGCATTAAATGTTCCCAAATATCACATCCACATACAATGTAATCAGTTGCCCAGAGAAGTATACAGGGCAGCATCACGTTTGCAATTTGTCCAGGACTAACTGGAACAAGAATGGCAGACTGAGGTGCAATCCATATATGCAACTTTCAGTGTCAATGTGATTACAAGATCGGGTTGAGCTGTGCTACTCTCAGCAGCTGGGCGTGTATGTCCCCAAGTGGCAGAGAAGCAGTGCCTCCCCACAACCACAGGCACCTGAGCTCTGCACTGTCCCTGTGAGAGGTGCCTTAAGGAAGGAAACTGAAGTTTAATGGCTAAGAGGACCATCATCATATGAAAATTACCAGTGAGCCATCACTAGAAGATAGATAACTTGGTAGAACCTGAACAGTCTTGTTTTCCTAAAGACTTAATAGTTGCATAGTTCTTTACAGATATTTGACATAATTTTAGAAACATGCTTTATTAGTTGGCAGGGTCATTTGTGAATCTTCTACATAATTACAAATATCTCAGGAGTTTAGTTTTTGAATATATGCATCCAAGGCACCACTAAACAAAATAAACGGTACCATTTCCTAGAATGCATGGCAGTCATTCCTGAACAACATCAGCAGAGGGCTTTGGTTCATAGCCTGACCTTGTCTTTACTGAGAAAATAGAAGCATTTCTTCATTTTTGTTTCCTGTAACCTATAAAATATGTAGAATGGCAAAAGCACTCATTTTCAAGGACATTTCACATAGCTACACAATTGTTCTACTTGCAGAGGAGCACAAGCGTAAGCAATGCATGCACATGTCTTCCTGCTACCCCTTTGCAGAATATTTTGACAGTGGTCATATGAGAATGTGCCCCACCCAAATGGATAGATCAGACAGATAGGGCATATGTTGATAAGATAAATACAGAAAGGCAATGTTTAGCCTAAAACTTGCTAAACATGCGCTTGGGCTATGTGAATTTGTTCTTAATCTATTTTTCAATATTAACATTCTTCCAGGTTACACTTAATATCCTATTAAGTTTTTTTCAACAGTAACTTTATGCTAAATGTACTGACATTTAGTTCATAAATTATACTGCAAACACTTTAAGAGCATCAATACATTCCAGTTTGAAAATGCTAGACAGGAATGACTGCTTCTGACAATAAATGAGATTCATCTTTTTCTAGTCCTCTTAAAGGTGTCACCAACTTGAATGCTGCTTAAATCTATTTGGAGCTTGAGGTTGCCCATCCCTATGAAAAACAGTAAACCCTGCAAAATATAGCAACTTTTCATCACAACGAATATTAAAACAATTCTATATGTGTACTGCAATCATGGCTCCTTTCACAGGAAGTCAGCTTCTCGATGTAAGATTCTATTATGTAAGAATGTAAGATTCTATTATGAACCCATACTGGTCATGATTCTATTTATGCACTTTGGTAAAATACTCCTTGGATCCTTCGGGATTTGGCTTGATCTGAAAAACAAAAAGTGTTGACACAAAATTATCAGTACTGAATTATATGTCTTAATTTTTATCCCTAATCTGATGAACATATGTTTAAGACATGAAGTGGAAAAGGTGATGTAGCAAAGCTGGTAAGGACATAACACCAGCACTCTTTCTATTAGAATCACCACCAGCATCATCTGCCACTCTGCTTGGAATTCCCCATGACCTTAGTTCACAGTAGCTCTGTGTGAGAAGCTCGGAGAAGAATTTTCTGAGAAACAATATCGTTGAGAGATATCCCTGTTGCACTGCAAAATACTTCGGGGTAGCCTGGTCTGGAATGGATAATTAGGACCCATTTGTTTATACAAAATACTTGTGCTTGGCTTAGATGAAATCTACAAGAACCAGTTGGATAAGGATCAGCACAGCTGCTGCATTTTGGACACAGCAACAGGAACTGTCATGATATGGACCTGCCCTATTTACCACAACAGCCCAAAGAGGATTTCTTCCATTGGCTAGAATCTGGGCCTGCTACGAGCAGAGGCGAGACTGCACTACCACCATTCCTGACTCCTAAACATTTTATCACCCTTCTCCTATACAGATGCTTTCCTGCATGTACATACCAGTGTGGTATAGTGGTTAAAGTGTTCAACTGAGACTCAAGAGGGCTGGACTCTAGTTCCCACTTCACCATGAAGCCCACTGGATGACTTTGGGCCAGTTACTGACTC